ACGATTTTTGAAATTTAGCTACCTAAATAGCTTTTCTTGTAGATTTCAGGCCTCATTTCTTCGATAACTTTAATCTTTTTTAACAACAACAATTTTGAAAAACTTCAGAATATTCCATACAACATATGTAAAAAGATCTTGCGTCATTTTTGAAAGTACTTAGATGCCTGTTTCCAAGTTCAGTTCGGATTGCAGAGTTTTTGTTCGGATTAATGAAGCATCGACTTCAAATAGCCTCTGTTCGGATTACTGGATGTTCGGATAATCGTGAATTCGGATTATAGAGGTTGTAGGTACTGTATTTACAAAATGAAATGCGATTTCAAAATTTTGAAATTGGTCAAAATAAAGTACCTCGGTCGTGTGTCAGTACCTGGATCCGCGCCTGGATCCATCTAAAATTCCAGTTGAGTTTTTCTGCACTCAAACCAGAAAATTTGCTCGATATTATGTAAAACACAATCCCTAATTGTCTAATGCTTTTACATATTGTTTTATCAGGTCCAATTTTAAATGAAGAGACAGAATTTTTTATCTCTTGAAACCCATGGCAAATTTACAACATTTTGTCTTCCAACCACTAGTGCCTCTAGTGAAGGTTAGTTCTTTGTTGTCCACGTTTAGCACGACTACCCCAAAGACAAGAAACAAGGGTACTAAGAATATTCATCCTGATGTTCCAATAAAAAATTCACCATTTTAAGGTCAACACAAATGTCTGATTGATGGTCTTGGTGTTTTATTTTATCTAATACGAGAGCAATATTGTGATATTCTTTCTTTGGCTTAATCAAATGAGCAATCGGAATCGAACCATATGTATTGCCATTGTGCAACAGAACGCATTAGAGATTTCGTTTTAAACTGTCTATAAAAAGACGCCACAGTCTTAGTTCGTATTTAGAAAGACCCATTGTTGTGAGAAGACCGCCAACATAAGAACAAAAAACAATATTATCTTCTACAGAAAAATATGGGACTGATTATTATCTTTCCTTGTTCCGATAAAACGTCATTTTTGTGTGTGAAATTAGCACGTTTCTTTTTCTTTTAATTTTGAAGCCAACAACTGTGTGGATTCTTTAGAGAGATCGAGGTCTCGGATCAGATCATTCAGCTCATTTTAATTGAAGGGTTGGGGAGTCGAATTATTGCCACTGCTGAGTTCATTGCTTGTGCTTTTATCTACCTCGTTGCTTGGCAATTCTAAACATTCCTCAACAGTATTCCCGTCTTCTGGATGTGATACACGTCTCGTGACTGAAGGTAAGTCCTAACTTAGCGTATGTAGTTATATATGTATAGCTTAAGAAAATGACGTATCCTAATACGTCATTTTCTTCTTATTAATGCCAAATATGTAAACCCAACAAAAATAGCAGTCATCCCAATGATTTTTTTTGTTTTTTCCAGATCATTGATACTTTGAATTTCAGACGTTTCCTTACACCATTTAACCATTGCATTCATTGCACATTTTAGAGACATTACGCAGCGCCCATGACTTTTCCTGGTCCTTCATCTCAGTACCAAAACATAAAAAAATAGGTAAGTTTGTACTAAATCTGTAGTTATGGACCTTCTACACTCTTTGTTTGTGTACTCACCACAAATGTAATGGAAGGTATTAGGGTCGTTTATACATCTTCTTGATGACATATTACGTATAAGTAGCTGGATGGATTTATGCACCCAAATAAGAAAGTAAAGCAGAAATGGCAATACTGGAATTTCTGTAAAAACTGCACGCAGAAAATATTAATAAAAAATAGTGATAAGAATACCAAATGGCCCTCTATTGAAAAACCATAACAGTTTGTTGGCACCAAACAAAAACTTTTTTATTCGTTGACCTGTGTCATTTATGAACGACAGTTTTTTACACGAAACGTGGGTTTTTAGCAAAAGTGGAGTAAAGTTCTCACTGTCATCAAAAGCCACGAAGAACTGGTGATAGTAGAAGGTTGTAGGTGGGTGAATAGCATATGTGAAAGGCGATATATCGCTTTCACATATATCTATAGACATGTGTTTTGATCTCATTCCGAATTATCGGGCTATTAATTACTGGAGCAGAATGATGACTTGATAAATATCTGCTTCGAAGTATGGTTCATGATATGTGCCTTGCAAAGACTCGAAGCACCCACGTTAATAATACAGTAACATGAAATTATTCAGTGGTTGAAAACCCACAGTACAAATTCTTCTAAAATATCTTTTAGATAAACGTTTTCCGCTTCTTCATCAGTTTGCATTTTGAAAATCGAATTATATAATAAACAAAATGGTATCCATAACAACATGAAAATAATAACCAGCTATGTATTAAAGTTCAATCTTGCCGGAAATACACAATATTTCGTTAAAAATATTTTAGAAACTAAAATACAATAAAACGTTATGTATGTAACACGGGCATAATTGCCGATTGCATAATGTCCCTAATTATGCCCCTAATACATAAATAACTATAATAATAATAATAGTAATTTATTGTCAAACAGAACTGTTCCAATAGAGACAATAAAATATAAATAAGAAAATTGATGGCTACATTTGCCTTAAATACAAATTAAATGTACTCTCCGTACAATTAAAAAAATCTAAATTAACTGGTAGATTGTTTATAGCAGTCACAATTTTATTAACAACAGAGCTATTTAAACCAAAATTAGTTTTTCTAAAGGGACAAACAAATATATCGCGGTTTCTGGTATTAACTAAAGGCGCTTTAAAATTTAAAAGCAACAAATGCTGTGGACAATCTATTTGATTATGCAAGAGTTTAAACACAAATCGCAGCTTAAATTTCAAAACGCGTTTCGACAGTGCTTCCAATTCTGTTAAATTAAGTCTCTGATCATAATTATATTGCGATTTATTAAGCCCCATCTTGAAAATTAAGAAGTTACACATTTTTCTCTGCACTCTTTCTAGTCTTGTTACGTGGACTTCATAAAAAGGAAACCAAATAATTATGCCGTACTCTAAGATAGGTCTAACTAGTGTAATAAAAAGCTTACGAACAGCAGCAACGCAGTGAAAATCTCTAGTCATCCTTTTTATGAAGCTACTTACACGATATGACTTATCAATAATATAATCCATGTGGCTATTAAAGCGTAGTTCAGAATCAAAAACTATTCCTAGATCTTTAATTTCATTCACTCTTTCCAAAATCTTATTATTTATAGCGTAGGCGAATACATAGTTACATAATTTTCTAGAGAATGTTATAATCTTGCACTTGTCATTGTTGATCATCATATTATTATTAATGCACCACTTCGTAGTAATATCCAGGGCTGTTTGGAGCCGATAACAATCTTCAAAGGAACTTATCTTGGAAAAAATTTTTAAATCATCAGCAAAAAGCAGTAGATTCGATGTAGAGAGGGATACTGCAAGATCATTAATAAATAGTAGGAAGAGTATTGGACCAAGATGACTGCCCTGGGGAACTCCAGAAGGTGTTAAGAGAGGATCGGATAGAAATCCCTTTAACGAAATTATTTGAATACGATTGGTAATATAAGAGAAAATCCATGTGTGAAGTTGACCACAAATACCGAGATACCAAAGTTTTTTCATTAGAAGAGCATGGTTAACACGATCAAACGTCTTACTAAAATCTAAATAGACCGAGTCAACCTGGCATCCATCTTCAAAAGCATCGATAATAAATTCATTGTATATAGCAAGATTGGTCACTGTACTTCTACTAGGAAGGAATCCATGTTGATACGGTGAAAGGATGTTTCTGTACATTCCAATAAGTTGTTCACTAATAATTGATTCTAAACCCTTACATAAAGCAGAAATAATAATCGATATAGGTCGGTACTTAGTAACTTCAGATTTGTCTCCAGTTTTATGCAGGGGAATCACATGAGATTGTTTCCAAATACTGGGACAAATACCAGTGTCGATAGATTTTCTGTAGAGTAAAAAGACAGGCCAGGCTAAGCTACTAGCACACTGATTTAGGAAATAAGAAGGAATTCCATCTGGTCCTGGATTTAAACTAGGTTTTAGAATTAATAGTTTGTTTCGAATCAAGTCAGGATTTAAGTCAGTATCATGTAAATTAACGTTATTCAGAAACAAAGAGGGATTTAATTCAGGGTTTTGGTTGTTCACGTTTGAATCATATACAGACTTAAAGTACTTAGCAAACATATTGGCAATCGTTTGGGGATCAGAGGAGTGAAAATCTTCTTTTATTGCAGCCTTAGCTAGTCTACGAACCGCTTTAAAATGATTATAATGGGTTACATTCAATGTAGATCTGTATAATGAAAATAATCTACGCTTTTTATTTACAAGTTTAACAGTATTTGGCTTAAACCATACTGGAAAATGAATATTGGGCTTACTAGTTTTAGGAGTACAGATATCAATAGCCTCATGAACAATGGAGTAGAAAGTTTCAATTGTAGCTTCAATATCTGAATATTGCAAAAGAGAACCCCAGTTTATAGATGAAAAATAGTTATTTAAAAAGTGATAATTGGCTTTTTTGAAGTTATAGTACCAACTGATTGAAGGCACAATATTGGAAGTTGCATGATTTGTGGGGAGAATTATACAGAGTGGAGTCAAGAAAGGCCAAAATGAACTTTGTTTACCTCGTATTTCAGCTTTATTTTTATTTTTCAAGTTTAAAAAGATCACACATATTGTTCTTTATTCTTTCAGTGGCATGTTTTATCCACATACCAATTTCCAAAGTCTCTGAAAATTTGTTCTCAGCTAAAATTGTTGCTTATTTTATTAAAACTATTATGACTAGTTTTATTTTATTTGTATTTTTACATAAATTATTTATTAATTTTTGCAAATCAGCCACAACACGAAACCCATTTTTTTCCAAATAGATAATAATCTACAACTAAGTTTTAAGTTAAGAATAATGTTAGTAGAACTTTTAAAAATTTTTTAGTTTAGTTCGCCGTACATGTACAATAAAATTTGTATGTTTAAAAACAACGAGAAAATTATAATCTATACTTATATTTATTTTTATTTAACTACACTGGTGAAATATGTTTTTGATTTTTATGCCATTAAAATACTTAATTCAAAATATTCCATGCCTACAATTTTAATTTTAACACAAAATACACTAATATTGCGGGAATTTTAAGAATTTTGATACAAATTAATTATTCTTTCCGCCTCTCTAAAACCACTCTCGATGGCCCCATGAACTGTTGAATAGTGAATAGGATTAGAAGCTTCTCCAGCGAATAAAACTACAGGTTTTCCATTTGCATTAGTCAACGGTTCAGCTAAGTCCAACTGATAACGAACACCAGGTTTCTCAAATCCAACCCTCTCGTACGAATACGTCCCTCGAAAATGCGGATTAGAGCGCCAAGAAGACCTAAAATAATAACAAGAACTGAGGTGTTGTTTCAACTAAATCAAATAAAAGTAAAATTTACTGTAGTCTTACTTGAGAATGCGATTAGGTGCTCTTATATCATAATCTTGTCCCAAAAATTTCTTGAGGATATACACACAACCATCTTTCAACACGGACTCTGGTGTTTTTTCTATATCCGGAACGAATTCCCCAGTAACCCACGTTACCAAAACACCGGGGTTTCCAGGAACTTTCGCCATTATTGTGATCGCGGAGACCCAAGAAATTCCATTTTTAATAGGTGCATATGGAAACTCTTTAGCTGCGTTATGCAAGTCTTCGTCGTTCCAAAGAAATGTGAATATCACATCGTCTTTGGTCCACCACTCATTTTCAAAATTTAAGATGATTTTCATAACTCCTGCGATTCCTATTGCTTCTATGGCATCCAATTTAGCTTTGGGTAACGCAGGACTGAACAGAGTGTCTTTGTGTGCTTTTAACACACCAACTGAAGGAGTTACAATTACATGATCTGCTGCGTACGTCGTGTTATCCAAAGTGTATACGATTACCTCACTGTCACTCCAAATTATTTTTGAAACTTGTTTATTCAAATGGATTTTATCGTCTATTGGCAGTTTTTCTTCGGGGTTAGGGAATTCTTTCGTTAAAACTTGTAAAATGGTTCTATAACCTCGTCCTTTCCACACTAGGAGTTGATGTCCTTCGCTTCTTTCATAGTGTTTGACTGTTGACGTATCGAGCCAGGAAAATGCACCATCGATCATCAATGACACTTTCTCCGCTAGTCTAAGTGCCTCATTCAATATTTTTATTTTTTGTGTGTCGCCGCTGTACTTTTGAATAATTGTGGCATTGTACCTGTTAAGATAACACAAAGTATGTTGAAAAGCTTCCAGAATATATTTAGTGTTATCATTTTAAACTTGAGTCTATCGTAAATGTTTTTAATGTAGATTTATATGAAACTGATGAGAACGTAAAAAACAAAACAATCAATACTTCGGTTAGCTGTGAAAATATTCCAAAGTGATAAAAGTCATGTTTAATGGCGTATTGAATCATGCTGCTTATTTACATTAGTAGCCTCTAAGTTGTTTTTAACGATAATTTTTAGGTAATTTTAAACAAATTATGTGGAATGAATTTTTATTAAAAAGTAAAATTTGTTCTATGTTTTGCATTTCTGTAGTGAGCAATAATTATGATTATTTCGGTACCTACATCCATAAAAATAAAAATAACACCAGTATGGTTCTGTACCGGTCATGACAATAAGGGTCTGTAAGTAAGGGTATCGTAAAGGCGGTAAATCACTAATCAAAATGTATCCATTTATCCGGTTCAAAACTGAATCTCAACTCAAAATTCTATAATTTATCTTAGAAACAAGTTAACCAAATGCTTTTAAATTTTGAACATTATCAACAGCTTGATAGATTTCTAACCAAAATTTGTCTATACATACCAAGCAAAATTTTGATGACCTCACCTCTGATTTTCAATACTATATACACAACGAAAAAATTTAACATATTATAAAAGACAAAAGGCAGAATTTTATAAATTTAAATGACTCTAACATTTAACTATAATTTAAAACTTTAATAACATCATTTTAAAATTATATATAAATTATTTTAGACTTACTTCTTTATGAATAGTTCACCAATACTAATTCCGGTAGCATTAAAATTGAAATTGCTGGAATCATATCCCAAAATTACTGCTTGCAATTCCTCCGTAAACGCCTCATCGAGTCTAGAACCATTAGAATAATAAAGTGCAGGTTGAAACACCTCAGATATGGGTTCTAAAACGTCCAAATCTTTTACCAGTTCGTAAACAATATTATTTTTTTGTCCGTGGCAGTATTCAGCACCAACATCTACAAACTTTTTTCCAAATTTAACGCTATTAATGCGACCACCAATTCTGTTTTCGGCTTCAAGGATTGTTATATTTGTTATGGAATTTTCCAATAATTTTGTAGCTGCAGCTATGCCGGCAGGACCTGTGCCTATTATCAACACTGTTGGTTCACATTTTGAAAAAGCACTTACGCACAAAATTAACAGCAATTTTATTAATAAACGCATTATAGGAGCTTCTATTCAACGTGGTGTTTTGTTTTAATTGTATATTTTATTAAGTATTTATTGTACGGGAGTATTATATTCCATAGTATCAAAATATTTTATCGGGTCACACTTAATATAACCTTTCATTGATAGAAAAGTTTCAATAAGTTTCATCACTCGTTTGTTACCCGAATAGAAATTAATTGCGACATGTAATAACAAACAATAACACTTTTGAAACATTTAATACAAAACACTTGCTATAAATAACTGACATATTAAATATTCACTCACTTCATTGTTACCTAGGTACTTCACTGTGACGTTAAATTTGTATAATAAATAACTATAAGAAGAATTTAACTATTTAATTTAAAAATACATACAAAAACATATGAAATTGAATAATCGCCATCTATGTCTCTACAGACTATTAATGCAAATGCGTGAAGATAGGAAAATGTTAATCAAAATTTGTTTATTGTTTATTGTTTAATCATCCAACAGGGTGGGAATTGCCCAATTACTAGATGATATTTCCGCGAATATATAAATTAGAGCAGCATTTTTGCTTTATGTGGTACTCTGACTATTCTTTTCAATGTGGGTTTTTTTAATTGTGGAAAAATTGTCATTAAATATGTCACTTATGTTCGATATTTGATTATACAAAACGGACATATTGAATATCGGTGATTTGATCAAAACGTTAGTTCGTGCCTTTTTATAGTAGAACGTAAATTTACTTCTTGTGCCAAATGTAGGAACCATCAAATTGAAATGACACAATAATTCTTGGCAATCCACGTATCCATTGATTATTTTATATAGTAAATAAAGACAACTAATTTTCCTCCGCATGTTTAAATTTATCATATATACCAAATCGGCCCGACAATTCATTTTGCGGTACTCCCCTTTCAGGGTACACGCCGTCACACTTGTATGCTAAGAACTTCAAAAATCGCCTTTGCAATTTTTCAATGTCATTTACGTGACAGGTGTAGATAGGAAACCAAATAACCGAACAATATTCTAGTTTAGCTAAGACCATAGTGTGAAATAACATGTTTAAACAATCAGGGTTTCTAAATTCTCTCGTGTTTCTTATGATAAAACCAAGGACTTTGAATGAGTCTTTTAACATGTGCTCTAAATGTTAAGAAAAGCAGAACTTAGGTATCATCAAAATGGAGACCCAAATCTTTTATAGTAGTATAAGACGGTAACCTTTTTGACAGAATCATATAATTATAGCTATTTATCTCCTTTTTGCGGGTATACCTTATGATCTTGCATTTATCCTTTGATAAACTGAAATTGTTTTCGCCCCACCATTTTTCCACATTTCTAACATCTTTTTGCAAAAGTATACAGTCCTCCATGTTTGTAATTTTTCGATATATTTTTATGTCGTCAGCATACATAACAAAATCACATTCTAAATGTTGACAATCATCAATATACATCAAAAACAATAGTGGACCCAGATTCGATCCTTGTGGAACACCGGACTTAGCGTCATACCGCAAGGACTTGCAGTAACCATTATATTGGACAAATTGGGTTCGCTCATACAAATAATCCTTCATTAAATTTAAAACCCCGCTACTAAACCCAAATAAAGATAACTTCTGCAACAGTATGCTATGATCAACAGTATCAAACGCCTTAGTGATATCGAAATAAATTGTGTCAACCTGACCATTGGAATCAAGAGCCTCTGCAACATACTGTGAGAAGAGTGCCAAATTAGTGGTTGTAGAACGTCCCCGGAAAAATCCATGCTGACGAGAAGACAACAAGCGAGCAACAGATGGATATAAATGCCGATGTATAATAATTTCGAAAAGCTTGGAAAAATTACACAGAATTGAAATTGGCCTATAATTCTCTATGTGTGTTTTGTCTCCACTCTTAAACATAGGTGTTATCTTTGAGACCTTCCATATGCTAGGAAATTTACCTGTTTGCAGTGCCAAATTGAAGATAAAACTTAACGGATCGGCAAATGCCTCGCAACAGTCGCGAACCAAAAATGATGGTATTTTATCTGCACCAGCTGTCATCTTGTTTTTCAGTAACTTAGCAGCATTTACGACTTCATCCCTGGAGATATTACGGACAGTTAGAGACGGAAATTTATAATTAGTAGACGTGCTATAACATGATGGTTGATTAGTAAATACACTAGAAAAATATTGTGCAAAAGCTTCTATGATGGCCTGAGTGTCCTGCACAGACACGCCATTAAAATGCATACAACCTGGTATTCTGGAATTGTTCTTTTTTGATTTAACATAACTCCAAAAATTAGACGGATCACTTTTTATAATATTTTGCATGTTTTTTATGTATTGTTTGTAAGAAAGAGAAATAAGATATTTAACCCTTTTTCGCAAATGTTTATATTCAGTATATTTATCAAACTTTCGGTATCTGAGATATTGTTTCCGTGCCAAATTCATAAGTTTTATAACCCGTATATAATGTCACCATCAAACCAGGGTGGATAAGTGGATTGTGCTAGATAAGAATTCTTTGCTGTTTAAAATTTCACGAGAGTGTATGGCGAAATTAAATGTTGTTTATTGTTGCTTTTGAAACTTTAACACTTGTTCAGCTGTATTTTAATATCAGAGGTATAGAAATTGAAGATTTAAATGGAATTAAGGTTAAATAACACAGAAACACGTAGCGGAAGCGGAGTGCGTGGTTCCTTGTCGAGCTGGCGGTCGCGCCATCTGCATAAAAGATGCATACCTTGGGTAGAATTCAGGGGAACGATCGGGATGACGTGATGCTCGCGGCTTTGTCCAATAGCCGGGGTTTCCAATTACGAGTTTGCGACCGTAACGGCCTGTTTCCGCACGGCACGTTTCTTGGTCATAGAGGGTTGTTGGGTGGCAAGTGCTTGCCGATAGGATAGAATAGAATCACCGCCGTGGTGGGAGAACAGCCACGCCAGAAATCTCAAACTCCGTTCGTGTTACAACGCCCCCTATGGGTAATTTTGCTGTGCTCTAGAATGAAATCGCTATAGTTTGATCACCCCAGTAACATTTTATATGTAATCAATATTGAAGTTCTAACATTTAAATAATATGGATAACGATAGATTTTTTTTTTTAAATCAATATTGGTTTTAAATATTGAATATATATTTATTTTCAATGTTTAATACTTATTTAGTTCAGAACATTTAATAAATGTTCTTCATATGAAAGGGGGTATGGATATAAAAAAAAACTTGTATGGAATACAATATAATATTTATTAAATACAAAGATACATTGTCACTGGAAATAACAGTGTATTTGAAACGTTGCGGCAATATTTATACATTTAAAAATTATTTGTCCTAGAACCAATTCGTTGAAAATTTGTACCGGGTGATTTTTTTTTAATTTCTACTGTAGTTACCCATGACACTTATGTCAGCAGTGAAACTGAAACTGCTGGCATAAGCTTCATGGGCAACCGGAGCATAAATTTAAAAAATATTCTGATGTGAAACACAATATAAATTTTTTAAACATAAAAATACATTGTCAATGGAAATAACAATGTTCTGCTACATTTCAATCGTTATACAGAAATATTTATTTAATAATTATTTGCTCTATAACCAATTCATTGAAAAGCGATATAATTAATTAAAATAAAAAAAATCATACCTCATGTTTTTTTCGATGAGAATTCATTCTTGTTTTTGTCTGCGCTTAATGAGGTCCTACCATTTTTTAAATTTCAGCAGTTGTGGCGTTTTTGTGAGGTTTCCGTGTGGCACCTACAATTTTAAATTAACTTACAAATTTCGTAATTTTTAAGAAATTACATAACTTTACATATTGTAGCCTTGTTAATTGTGAGTTCACTAAAAGAGAGCTTATTTTTTCCTTGCCCTGAAAACTTGAAAGCAATTTGGTTCATTATTATTAATAATTTCTTCAAAATTGCATAGGTACATGTTTTTTTACATCTTCTCTTTATGGCAAATAAACATTATTATCAGTCTGAAACTAACTAGTTTATAAATACTAGGAGTTAATAATAAGAATAATAAATGCTTACCAATTCATTCAATTTCTGCGTATCTCCCGCAATTTCTAACTGGATTTCTTCTTTTTTTTGGTTGCGCCCGGACATTCATCATTTTGTCTCTACATTCATAATGTGCTTATATTCAGAAATATTAAACCTCTTAAATATACTTACGTGTTGAGAAATTGCATTTTCTGCATTGCTTGTAGAAGTGAGGTTATGTAGGGTTAGTACTGTCATGGTAGAAGGTATCCTTCACGGTGGTAGAAGTAAGGTGTGGAAACCTCATTCATAACTTTCCTCAAAATCATTGGTAGAAAACACAAATCGCGTGGTTTGGATTATATGTCATTATCTGTCCACACCGCAGCGACGTCTAGAGAGATCAGTTGAAATTAAGTAATAGAAAACTGTATTAAATCTTTGACATTTATGCCAATGTCATTTATTACCCAATCACAAATGTCGAATCATCTACCAATCACACGATTCACACCAAAGACCAACCACAAACCGTAGTGCTGTGATTTATTTTCCCTCCAACGAATCTGTCACTTATTTCATTCATAAATACACGGACAAGTTGAAATGTTAATACATAGATGGACATACTGTGCTGCATACTATTTCGTAGTAAATAAGCCTACTGGGATGCGTGTTTTATTCAACAAATTGGAGCGGCTTGTTTCCACACCTTACTTCTACCACCGTGGTATCCTTCTACCATGAGTACTGTTTTCTTGACAAAACGGTATTTACTACACTATTCTGAATTTATCGCAGTACCGATAATCACAATTCACAATAGGACAAACACCATGAACTTACACAAAATACTTTTTGAACCACCAACAATAACAGAAAATATGTATATGTTGCACATTGCGCAAACGCGTTCCAGCAGAGCAAGCGCAAATTTAAGTAAGTTTTATAAAAATGATGAATAAAATTATTATTTTTTGTTCGCAACAATAAAAAAATATTACTTTTTAAAGAGCAATTAATAGGGTGCAACACAATATTTCGAATAGTGTAAATTTCACAATAGCTGGTATTTTTTCAAATCAATTTTTAATATTGCTCCAATAAAAACCCTATGACATAAATTACCTACAAGTTGTCCCAACATGGTACTTTTTTTTTCATTTTTGTTGTTCGGTATCTTGATAAAAAGACATTTCATAAATATGTAATATATGTTGAAATTCATATATAAATTTATAAATATAAAATGAATATTATATAAATATTTGTAATATCTAGTCAACATTTAATATTATATCAATCTTGTATAAATATTAGAAAAATATTGCTTGCTACTGGGGCACCACACTCTTATAGCGCTCTGGTGCCGCTGTCGCTGCCTACAATTTTCATTAAAATTTTGTTCTCTTGTTGACTGCCATAACTTTAAATTTGCCGCCACACGTCCGTAATAACTTGTGTATTTGGATCCAGTTACTTTAATTCAGATTTTTCTTTGTTTTTATTAAATTTGTGATTTTCAAATATTTGCATTAATTCAAAACGCTTAATTTGATTTCATTCAAAATTAGGCAAGTTTTTTTTTTGTAGCTGAGCATTAAGAGGTGTCTTCGACCGGTGCAAGTTAGTCGCAGCTTTTTTTTTGTCAGTGGCGGAATAATTAATTTTGTGTCCTCCATAGTTTGTAGGAGTATTTTATTTAGTGATACTTTTCCAATCTTGGAGTCCACCACTTGCATTTGAACACATTTCGCCACAAAGAAAAAAACACAAACACAATGTAGGGTCCTATTTTGTTAGACGATCACAACCAAGGCCAAATTTTTGAATTTTTGAACTTTTCGCAAGCTTTCAATTTTTTTGTCACGTCAATTTAAGGCGGGATGTTTGGGTTATCATTATCACAGTATCAATTAAACAACATTGATTTAAAAACGTCAACGTTGCTTTAATACGCGCTAATTTTCGTTAAATTTGATTAATTACGCTACATTACAATGGATAGTGAGTACAACTATGTTCTCTGGTACAACGTTCAAGATGCTGCGAATGAGGCAAGTCAAGAATTACTGCCGCAAAAATCCAAAATCAGATATGAAAATGCCTATAAATTTTTCAAACACTTGTGCCAGCAGCGAAAGCAGGTGAACATCGACGAAAATGTGCTTTTGCCTTATTTTCTGTGAAAATCAAAACAATGTAAAACCCCTTCGATCTTGTGGTTGGAGACAATGCCTTCCAATCAGGAAAATCACGATATATCTAAATATTCCAAATTACGTGTGGTTTTGAAACGTAAAAACGAAGGATATCAACCTAAAAAGTCTAACGTGTTTATCAGAGAAGAAATTAATCGTTTTTTCGTGGAAGCTTCGGACCAATATTACCTAATGATAAACGTAAATGTATCGTCCAATAATTATTTTACAAACTAACACAAATTTATCTATTTTCAGGTAGTTACAATATTAGGATTAGCAGGAGCATGTTGTTCTGATGAGCTTATCAACATAACTCTAGACGATATTCAGGATATGCAAAATGTTATCATTATGAAAATTCCAAAAACTAAGAATAAGGTTCCCAAAACATTTACTGTTGTTGACAACGATGAACAGTGCATTAGTTTTCTTGGATTATGTAGAAAATATTTGACCATTAGAAACAAATGTAGCACAGATTTAAATAGATTTTTCTTAAAGTACGACAAGGGTAGATGTGTGAAACAACCGATAGGAAAAGCTACTTTCAGTCGCATCCCACAACTGTGGTAAAATCGTAAAGCATACATGGGACATTCATTTTGCCGAACACGTCCGCAACGTTATTGGCAGATGCAGGGGTGATTGTTTTGGACCTAAAACGGTTGGGAAGTTGGAAATCTGCTACAGTCGCGGAGGTTTATGTGGCAGAATTAATGAGAAACAAAATAGAAACAACAAATAAGATATTTTACAGCAATAATCAAGCGACCAACCAGTTCTGCTGGTCTGCTGCTTCTACCTCTAAAACTTCGATTCCGAGTACGCCTGAAAAAGTCGCAGATATAGAAGACAACCATCAGAGTGACCAGATAAACACTCCGTTGGGGAAGTTAAACCAATGTTCAAACTGCACCTTTATAATTAACCTTCACAAGTAGTTAATGTTATTAAAGATAATTTCAAAAACACATTTTATTAACTTTTGTTAAAAAAAAAATCGTAAAATTAAACGGTGTTGTATTGAGTCTTGTAATTTCACTTACTTCTCCAGCAAGGTAAATAGTCTTAGGGAGGTAAGTCACACTATTTCCTAGGCAACCAGAACATGATTAATAATTTGAACTTACTCTCGTCAATTGTGACTTGGTAAAAGCTACTTACGAGAAGGGCGGAAAAAAACACATTTTTTGCATTCCATCATGGTGCTTTTTTGAAAAGACCCCGTTGCAAGTGGAACTTTCGACGGATTTTTAGACGTTCAACGCAATCTTTTCAAAACTATATACATTCCAAACTGTCGTCTATAATAATAATTTCAATTTAAGTAATTTGTTCTTCCATACACCACGTACACACGCCAATGTTTTCTTAAAAAAAAAAACACACGGTTTTTTTTTCAATAAAAATGTCTTAATTACAAAAATTATCTACACCAAAATAACCTAACTACGAACATCAATCAGATTCCTCAAAAACATTTGCCGCTGCTGGTAGTTTTTTAAATCTTTCTTGTGTCTTTTTCCAAATAATGTGTCTATTTTTGTCATACTGCACATCAAACGGCACTGCATCACCACCTCCTCCACTTCCAATTCCCGACGTTCCTGGATTACCAACTATAGGCAGCTATAAACAAACTTTGACAAAGTTTTCTTCAAACAAGAACATTTGCACTCACTGGTTCTAGCATGCCTTGACTATCTTTTCCCAACGACTGTCCTTCCTTCCAGCCCATCTTTGCCAACATTTTAAACCCTTTATTTTGCGATGAAATCGACCTAACACAAAAATAATAAAAAATATTCAACTGCACATTTACACATACTCATTGAGTGATGCCGTCTCCGTCTTCTCATGAGGATTTTGACTACCCACAGTGTCTCTCCTTTTTTGAGCTCTGTCCGTGTAACCAGACGCCAACTTCGTGTTCCCTTCTTCAAATGCGCTGACACCAAACTTTTTCCTCAATTTCTTCAACTCGCTCTTGTGTTGTTCGCTTTTTGTAGCTTTTGAAACGGGTTCAACTTTCTCTGGAATATTTACGAATTTGAAAAAAAAAAAAATAAACAACGGAGTTATACTTTCTGCAGTTTGTACTAATCCTGGTTCACAATGACCACAAGTTTTGTACCCGTCATGAACGTGACACAATAATACTACAGCACCCACTTGGATTCTACTACCATGTGGTACTTCCAAAGCTTCACTTTCTTGTTTAGAGGTGCTCATTCTCTTGCCGTTCAGAACGGTACCGTTCCTAGACCCCAAATCGGTAGCGAAGTACCGGTTCTTGTCTTTGTCATAAGTAAACTTAAGGTGACATTTGCTAATGTTTATATCTGGAAGGATGATAGCGTGGTTCCCCTCACGTCCTAAGGTACCACCTTCGAATGTCACTATGTGTAAAGAACCAACTTTGATTTTCGGCAGTTGGGATTGTTCCACAATAACTCGCATGCAAGGTGGCCACTTCTTTGACAAGTCTGCAGACAAAAGAATCCATAGGGTCATCAAATAGATATACTACAAAACTAGAAGTTGACAACTGACAACTTTGAAGAACAATGAAACAAAACAACTTCTAGTCTCTTTTAACACTTAAAACTGTTTTTTCTGTTCACTGAAGTTTTCTTTTTTCTGACTCAAGACAACAAACAAACAAAAAAAAGTACCGCTATTATCGGAATTGGTATCGTCACTATCGTTGCCACTGCTGATTGAACATTCTCCTTCTTCCGTTTCTGCCGACTGCGATGAATCCGTCCCCAACCGTACACATTTCGCCGCCTAGAAATAACATTGTTTTACTGATGTATACGTACCCGCAGCGTAAGTACGAAGATTATTTATGGTCAAATAATTGAAGCAACTCGTTAGATGCTCCAAATCTGAAGAAATGTTTACCTAAAATTTGCAACAACACCAAATGAACAGCTATTAATTGTATTACTGGACTTACTTTTGACTCATCCTTACTTTTCTTCTTTCGTTTGACAATTTCTTTGTTTGTTTGTTTTTCGGGCGGAGGTACATATACTCGGGAATGGAATTCATAGGTATTGGTGTCTTGTTTATACTTTAGGTACGTGCCGCTAGTTGGATCATAGTACAAACCATATTCCTTTAACCAAATGCAGTATAATGGGAGTGTTGTGGTCACACATAAAAATGTAAATATTACCACATTGTAATAGTATCCCGTATTTGAATCGTAGTACATTCCCGTGGCTTCGTCATACATGAAACCTATGTTTTGGGTCGCTATTTCTGCAGCTTCTTTGATTTCTTCAGCAATACTTTTGGGTTCTTCTGATATTGTATTTTGTGAATAACTCACGTCGTACAGGGGTTCGGTTTGAATGCTGACATCGTGACACGTTGGAACAGTCTGTGAAACAGATTTCATTCTAGATACAAAAAAAAGTCTACAATTATTTAGACAGAATTTCCCTCGCCCCTGCAGTACAATAAAACAAGTCTAGTTTCTTAGACAAATAAAAAAAAAATAAGAAAACTTTGCACACCTAAATGTGATTACTTAGCACCTTTTCAAATGATGTCACCAAAATTTTGGAGAACTTCAAAATATAGACTAATTGAAGTGTAAAATTTTGTTGAACAATTTTGAATTTCTTTTTCAAAAATCTCCACATTTAGGGCGAAAATGTGGGTGTAATGATAAGCTGCAAGTGTAGACATATAATATCAGTCCAGTAGGTGCGGACAATACGAGTTTAACAGACTCAAACGTCGAGAAAACATGAAATTAGACATTCGGCAACCGCTTTTTGTTACATTATTTAAGTTCGGTTAATAAAAATAGTGATGATTTTTTACAAATGTTTTCATCCTTTTTTTTCACCGAAAATTAATGCAGCTCGTGACATTTACCCAACCTTCATATGACCCCTATTTTAATTTATATTCAATAATATCCAGAAACTACAAAATGCAGTTGCTATTAACTTTTTTAAGTGCTTATAATTATACTTCGCCAATTTATTTCAAGTCACTAAAAAATGTATTATGAGGACGAAGTGTCATAATAACCGGTTAATTATTATTTGAATGAGTCCTGTTTATTATTTTTACGTCGCTAAAGTGAGATAATTAAAATAATTATAATTAGTGTGCCTCAAATATTTATTGAAAAAAATGCACATAATTACTTTCAACTTACATGAAGTTAATACGTGTAATAGAGCTAAGTTAGACTAAATTTAGAATATAAATTTGGTTAAAACTTTCTTAAATGGAATATTAGGTACTAAGGGCAGTGACGCCCCTTTTTAAAAATATCAGAAGTTAAGGAACTTCCGCCGCTTAAAGTGTACAACTAAACTACATTGGTTATGCTTCAGAGGAAATGCAAACCAATTTGCACATTTTTAATCTGTTTTTTTTTACCGATCTATTCACAGCTCTTGCCAAAGCAATTCTTAATATACGTCTGGATAATAAACAAACGATGTTTTTTACACAATGTTGGCAGTTTGATCGGAATCAGAAGTTCGGATTCTGTAGATATTTCAAAACTTCACTCACTCTCGGGTTTTCATTCATTCAACAGGCTATGAATGAATGTGCACAGACCTTGTAGAATTTCAATTTCATTATTATTTTGACAATTCATGGATTCTATTTTTGTATAAGCGTGCATAACTCGATCTATTTTGTTTTGGAAATGGCCACTTATTCTGGTCGAACATTTGCCATACCAAAGTATGCATCAGAAGTTTTGTTGATTTCATTATCTCTGAAACTATCCATCTTGCATAAACTTATCCACGTATCGTTTTTGTTTCGACAAAAATGGGTCTACAAACTATGTTGCGCATACAACCTGATTTAATGTAACTAAACCAGTGGTTCGCAAACTGGGTGCCGCGGAACCCCCAAGAGGGTGCCGTGAAAATTTTATAATGATTTTAATAAATATAAGCACAAAACCAACTTTAAAAAATAATAATTCATGATCTGATTTTATTAATATGGTACAACTGTTCAGTAATGGAAAATGTGTTCTGAACATGTTAATTTTCTTCATACTGAAGTAAGATGGCTATCTAAAGGCCGTGTTCTTTTTTAAGAAAACAGATATAAACGTTTTTTGAACCAGAAAATATTGAACTATTTTTTGACCTCCTTCAAGTCTGTTGTGCAAAACTAGCATATTTAACTAATATTTTTGAACACTTAAATAAAATATGTAAATTTAAGTATGCAAGGTAGAAATGAAAATATTTTAACCTCCAGTGAAAAAATTTTAGCTTTAAAAGACAAGCCTAAATTATGGAAAACAGATATTTATAAAACAATCTTAACATCAATTACATATTATGCAGTCATGTGATAAAATGATTTTGATAATAAATGAGTTACAATTAAAACTGTTCTTGGCGGGGTGCCGCCAAATTTTGTTTAATACTTTAGGGTGCTATCAATAATAAAAGTTTGCGAACCACTGAACTAAACAATGAAATTTTTACTGGGAAAACAAGACTAGCATACAATTCTATAAGCCCAGTTCCATAAAAATATTTACTTGGTTACTATGTGCATATATTTGAAAATATATATTTTTAAAAAGTAGTTAGAAAAAAAAGTGATTATATTTAAAAAATGAAGTTGTCTCTACTTTTTATTAAATTAATTCACTTTCTGTTATTCATAAATGGCACATCATAGGTAACTTGTTTCTCAAACAAGTGGTACTTTTGAAATTATCTGAGAAAATACTTACACACAAGGATATATCAAAAAATATATAATGACTGCAAACATATCTGTCTACTGATACATGACCACGATACAAAATTGAGTGAAATAATGTTAACATTTTGTTTTATTTTTCGTATCTTAAAATTTGTAAATACATACTTTGAAGGGCAACATTGTGCCAATGAATCAAGAATGATATGGCGAGTTATTTTTCCGTGATAAAATAAATGACTAAATATAAATTTTAAACAAGTATGCAAATAAAAATGTTTGTTTTTCAACCACGATTAAAAAGGTAATTTACATAAATGTTTCATAATTTGTAGCAATTATACATTTTTTATACTCATAAGATGTTTCTGTAAAAAAACAAATTAATGAGACCAAGTATACTTGGTTGCCTACGTTTAACGTTTTATTAAAAACTTACGATCTAAAAAAATTAGTCTTAACTTTAAAGAAAATTAAAGTGTGCAGCAGAAAACTGTTGACTCAGTAAAATTTTGACCTGCGTTGACCCTATTCACAAAAGTAAAACAAAAGAACTTTGATTTAGATAACGTCTACAATTTTAGTCATACTGTGAGTTCCGAGAATAAGAAGTACAGATAAACAACTGATTAACACGGACATTAAAATAGACACTAATCTTTACACTTTAGTTTTAAGCTATTTATCTCTGAATTGAAGCACGATTACTCATCAATACATCGACTTTTCACATACCTAAAATTACATTATGATAAAAAACATAACCTACAAACCTTAAATTTCGCTTTAATTTTCCGCAGTTTCTTCTTCTGCTTTTTAATTTGTTTTTCTAGCAACGCTATATACTCCATCGCCCCCGGAATGTTTTGCAATTGTTCTTTAAGACTAGGGGACATTTCGTACTTAATTTTTGAGTTTTCATTCCCACTGCTTTCAGTTGTATCAACTTCGTGTACATCAGACATGATGAAAAGACAAACTTGAACACTTAACAAACAACTTAAAACACTACAAAGTGCTTAAAACACGTTTAAAACATCACATGTAAAAATCACAGACTGAGTTTTATTAAATAAAGTTTATGAAAAATTAAAACTATTATTTTTGTACCGAGTGAAGTTAGATGATTAGGATCACAGCCCACTTGGTGGAAGAGCTAATTTTAATGAGGTGGCCTGACACGGTCGATCTTGAGTGTTGATGTGAAAGGAGGCAAATTTGCTTGAATAAAAATTGTCCAACTAAAAAATCATAATTTCGTTGTTATTAATTACTATTTAGATGACTCCTAATTGCTGGTGTAAATACACGAATTAAATTTTATGAAAACGGTATCTCTAATTTATGTTTTCCTTTAGAAAATCGTCACACTCGCCAACTTCACACGCCACATGACAGCTGTCACTGCGCAGACCGGCTCGAGCGAAATTGAGGTTAAAATACGAGGAAGAGTAGGGTGTAAGTTATTATTGGAATGGTAGTCCGAGGTGAGCGGTAAAAGAAAATTATTTAACAGCTCCTCAGACCTCATTTGACCGTCTCGAAACGCGGCAGCAAGTGAAAGCGTGTAGTGTCATTCAAACTTTCCACCATGGGTTCCTGGCCTCAAGACGTCGGCATTTTAGCCCTCGAACTGATATTTCCCTCACAATATGTCGACCAAACCGAGTTAGAAGAATACGACGGAGTCTCCTCCGGAAAATATACCGTGGGCTTAGGCCAACAGAAAATGGGCTTCTGCTCGGACCGAGAAGACATCAACTCCCTGTGTTTGACAGTCGTGAAGAAGCTTCTGGAGCGGCACAGCATCGAATACTCCGACATCGGGCGTCTGGAAGTGGGCACCGAAACCATAATCGACAAGTCCAAGAGTGTGAAAACGGTGCTGATGCAGCTGTTCGAGCCACACGGTGTTACGGACATCGAGGGGGTTGACACCACGAACGCGTGCTATGGGGGTACCGCCGCACTCTTCAACGCCGTCTCGTGGGTGGAGTCGTCGGCGTGGAACGGTCGCTACGCTCTAGTGGTGGCCGCAGACATCGCGGTGTACGCTAAGGGCTCCGCGAGGCCCACTGGGGGCGCCGGAGCCGTGGCTATGCTAGTGGGTCCCAACGCGCCTCTAGTGTTCGACAGGGGGGTGCGTGCAACGTACGTCAAACACGCGTACGATTTTTACAAGCCGGATTTGACTTCAGAGTACCCCACAGTCGATGGAAAATTATCAATCCAATGCTACCTAAGTGCCCTAGATAACTGCTATCAACTCTACTGTAAGAATATCGCCAAGAAGTTCAGTACGAACGTAAATTTGAATTACTTTGATGCGGTTCTGTTCCACTCGCCGTACTGTAAGTTAGTGCAGAAATCTCTGGCTCGATTATGTCTGAATGATTTTCTTATGGCCACGGTGGAGAGTAGGAAACTGCAATATCCAGGTTTAGAGAGCTTTAATAATGTTAGTTTAGGTAATAGTTATTTTGATAGAGACGTGGAGAAGGCTTTTCTAACCTGCAGTAAAGAGTATTTTGAAAAGAAAACCAAACCATCTCTTTTAGTGGCTAGTCAAGTTGGTAATATGTACACCCCTTCGCTTTACGGGGGGCTCGTATCTCTATTAATTAGCAAAAACATATCCGAATTGGCGGGTAACAAAATTGGGTTATTTTCGTATGGCTCAGGTTTGGCAGCTTCTCTGTTTTCCATTACAGTGTCAAAAGACTGCAATGAAGCGTCGCCGTTGTGCAAATTAGTGAAAAATTTGCAACACGTCAAACCTTTTTTGCAACAAAGGCAGAAGGTGGCTCCGGAAAAATTCGAGGCAAATTTGGAACTTCGGGAACGGAATTGTCACAAAGCCCCGTATGAGCCTTCTGGCACCATTGACCATTTCTTCCCAGGGACGTATTATCTCACAAAAATTGACGAATTGCATCGGCGTCACTACGACAGGATTCCTGTCGCAGCCAACGGTCATGTTTAGTATATCAAATTTTTGATTTTAGTCTTTTTTGGATACATTTTAGTGTATTGTATAAATCTGTAGATCATGCAGGGAACATGATAGGTGTAAGTATAAACGAGCTCAAATTTAAATTTCAAGTGCCTCTAGGATTTGAATTTCATTAAAATTCCATTAACGGTGGTAGGATCTTCTGCATTAGTTAGATTGTGAAGTAGGTCATAAAGTTGGGTCTTCTAATGGCCGATTTTCAAGATTTGTTAATCTTTGAAAGAAACTGACGTTACAGTTCGTGTTGTTAATTAGTTGTACCGATTTATTGGTAATTGATCATGATAATTCCATCTCTCTTTCACGATTTGATAATTACTATAACGTGGCAATCATGGTGGAGCTTTACTACATTTCTCTACTTCGGTTTAAGGTGATATTCTGTAATTAATATAGAATTTTATTGAAAGTATTTAAGATCGTGAAAAGGACATTCACTGAAGTTCTGACTGTTCCAACTCAAAATTGAAAACTCGTGTGCTTTTTATATGTACCTTTTTGTTATTTATTCTAATTATTTATTTATGATATGTGTAAAACATGATCAGCAGCGAACAGCGATTGCGAATTTTGTTATTATTTATATGTATGATCTATAAATACTGTTGCATTTTATTAAAATTTTAGTACGTACGTCAGACTTTTTTGTTTTACTTTACCTTCAGACTTATATGTATGTACATAAAGATTAAAAAACAAACGACCAAATTACTCATTTTGTAATCTTTATTGATTAGATTCTGAGTCATTTTAAAGCCATTGTTTAAAAATTATACATTTTTTTTAAGCTAATGAACTCGACTTCGATTTTTTTCAGTGATTCTGGAGAATTCAAATTCGAAAAATATATGCCAGTGTTTCATCCTTCTTGCTCTTCTTCAGTTATATGATTCTGATATTATTCATTTATTTATTTCTTAAAAATATACATACATATTTGAATTTCATTGTCATTGTCATCATTTTTATCCAGGGAACAATAACAGGGAATTATAACAGTGATTTTGACGAACACCTAATTTGTTTTTTGGCATTTTACAACTTACGCAGTACAAAAATGCTAGTTTTTTATTTCCGTTTTTCTACTAGATATTTTAAAATATTAAGGAATTAATTATTTCAAAATTTTAGGTGATTTCATTTTGAGGACGTTATAAGTTATAACACTGACCAAACTATTTCCACAGATCCCCACCAAAAAATTGATGACGTCACCTCAAAATAAGCAAATTAATCTTCTTTTTGCACTTTGCTTCGACTGTTTCTTGTAGAAAAAGTTTGGACTCTTATTTTAGAAATTACGTATCGATTTCTACGTAATTTTGGTCAGACATTGATTTAGTAACTTCAGAACACTAGAATTTATTTATTCAACCCGTTCTGAATTATGGAAGCAGTCTTCTGAAAACTTCGTCTTGACGTGCAAGCGGTGTTTGTTTTGCGTCAGAGGTGAGTGGAAATAACTTTTTCCAAGTGAGCTACACCGAATACAATGTGACAACATAAGTGCCGCTCAGTATATTTTTAACGAACGTTATTCACGAACAGAGCCTCTTCTAAGTGAGCTTATAACTTACGTGGCAATAATTTAGGTAACACAACTGTCCGTAAAGTTCGGAAGAAATTTAGTAAAAAAAAATCCTGAATGATATTTGACGAAAATAGAAATCCAAAAAGTCGGCTGTATTCTAAAAGCCACTTCGGCATTTTTGGCTGCTAATGTTAAATTTATGACGTCATTGATCTCTTTCAAAGGAAACTCCATTTTATTGCAACATTTTTAAAGAGCAGAGAAAGTAGATAATAAAAAATGTTAAAGAAATCTTTATTTCAATAACTGGTTATTTTTATAAAATATTTATAATAATTATGTGTTTTAGGACGATTTACAAAAACTTCGTATTTATCACAATATCACGTAAAACTTTGCACAGTAATCATGTTTTTTTCATAGCTATATTGTGTTGTCTTTTTACAAAGAGCCATTTGATTGCATATCAGTTGGAATAAACAAATAATCAAATTGTTTGCTAAAAATTGTTGTTTTTGTCGGTTTATTATGTAAAACTAATATGTATGTAAGCATTTACATTATTTGCCTTGGAAATAAATTTAAAACTCTTCGGGTTTGTCGCTTGTTTTGATGGCGTTCACCACAAACTGACACGTAGCCGTAGCTAACATTTGACGTCAGTTTGACATTTATTTGATTATAATTCCTATTTCTATAAGGCGGCAAAATTCATCGCCCACTTTAACATGACAACGATTTATAAAAATTCTGTATTTGCATGTATGTATAAAAGAATAACAAAACTAAAAGTGATGTAATGTATTCATATTATAGTGAATGTAGAACGACAGACGAATAATGCTTAATACAAACTACTAATAAAAAAAAAACACAGAAATGAACAGTTAAAAAGTAAAAGTGGCTAATAATAATCATTAGATGGCGGAAACAGTTTAGTAAACCGAAGACAAAATGGAAAGTGTCAAAAATAAACAGTCAATCTAATTATATAATAAGTAAGTACGTTTCTTTGCTTTTAAGTATCCATAAATCTTAAATTTTATTCCTATCTTACTGTTCGAAGCACAATTATCATGCTTTTAAAAAAACATCACATTATACTTCAAAATGTTACTTTATTTTTTTTATTTAATTGTTCGAAGAGCAGGGGTACATATATAAAATGAAAAATATTTTTTCGAGAATGTTTCACTTTGAGACGGGAGTGGCAGTGAGCAGCACAACACCTGAAAACAAACATCACACAAATAAACCAGCAGAGATACATATTTTATGGTCAAAGCTAGTCAATGATTTCCATTGAACTTGACCTAGAAATCAGAAGTAAGAGTTAAGGTTGAGGTGAAATCGTGTTCGCGGCAAGAATGTTGGATGTTTATACAACTTGGGAACAAAGTAAAACAAACTCTGATTATTATGTTTGTTAATTTTGCAGTTCCCAGAGTTTTGACTTTACAGTACGCTAAGTAGATGTAAATGAGTTTCTAGGGAATAATAATGAATCAGTGCGGGAAAATACAACTTTGTTTAACACTGAGACGATTAAACAGAAAGCGTGATGCACATTTTTAGTGGTTTGATATAATCAAGACTGCATGCTAATAAATAATTTAACTTGAAAAAATTCCACATCGAGTATAGTGGAAATTAGTTAATTAAAATTATCATATATAATCTTAAGTAACTTACTAATCTGTTTGTTGGTCCTGTACAAGGTAGCACATTTTGCATATTTTAAAAAATTGACAAGCAATTGTTGCCTTGTTTTTCCTTATGTAGGACCCTTATATCACATTTCTGGAAATTATTAATTAAAGTAAAATTAATAAAGTATTTAATGATTAAAAGGAATTTATTTTTTCATTCCCTTTAGATAATTGATGACGTCATGTTAAAACATTATTAAATTCATTTTATTAAAATATGCTTTGAGATGTAATTTGCTACCATTTAGCTTAAATGATTTACTAATTCTCCTCTCTATTTTTAAAACTGTTTCAAAAACATTAATCTGTGAATGCATTTATTTTATCTATTATCACAGCAAAAGTTCATATAAGTTTTTGCACCTTTTACATTATTTAATGATAACGTGTAATACAACACCTACACTGAAATTATAGTTATTGGTTTTTCATCATTTTACGGTAGGTACATTTAGTAATTTACCGACTTCGATAACATTAATGGTTTTTTGAAAACAGGTGCTCTAATTTTATCCTAAGTAATTATTTCGGTTCTTAATTACAATACTTGAAAAATAACTTATAGTTGGTCGTTTTGAACTTAAATATTCTTAAATATCACACTTTTAAGTTTTAAAATTATTATTTCTTGCAAATTTATTACTTACTTGTTATTTCATCGCAGTTTTTAATGGAAATTAATAAAGCATTATAAATAAAAAAAAACTGAAAAAACGAACAACGTGACGGTTAGTGGATTTATTGTACAAAATTCTACCAATATATTTTTACCGAAGGCTACACTAGTCGACAAGGACGTATTTATAACAATCGTTTGATCACACTCAAACAGATCTTGTTCAAAATTCATCAAACTATCATCTCGCGAAGTAGATTACTTTGAAATGAAGTTAATTTATTTTTCAAAAAGTGTCAAAAATTTGCCTGTGCAAGTAACAAAACTTAGTTTAATTCATTTATGATAAACTAGGTAACAAACTGAAGTAATTTTGTATTTTTACTTTCCGATCGTAAGCTAAGGAAATATTGTAATAGGGCCATCTAGCAAAAGACTACTTTCATGTTTTTTCGACGTTTCATGACCTCCTAGAGTAAGAAAAAATAGATCTGTGTTGATTTATATTTTTTAATATTTTAAATGGTTATTAGGTCTATCGAGAGTGTGTACATGAAAGTGTATAGAGATGGAATATCAGAACACAGCCACTAATAAGTAAGTAAACCATCAGTACTGGAGATTCATAGCAGTTCCACTGAATGAACGCAAACATTCTATTTACTTTAACAGTGACGTAGTTTTTAAAGGAAATTTGTTGTCAACTGTAATGTTTAAATCCTTGAATGTGTCTGAGCATATCAGAGTAATTCCATCAATAGGATAATTGTACATTATGTTGCTCCATTTTTTCAAATACCTCACAACGAGGCAATTGTTTTCATTTAAAAGAAATGAAGGTTCATTATGTTCCAAGTAAACAATAAACTCAAATTATTTTGGAGTTTCAACAGAATTAGTCAACAGGAAGAGCTACAGATCGTTAGAAAAAGGTAAAAAAACAGAAAAAGTAGAATGTTCCAGGTTGGACCCTTGTATCACCCGGACGTCGCGTGGAGAATATGTTAGAAACACAATTCAGAAAATGCTTAACAGTAAAATTCAAATTGTACAATTTGTTATCGATTTATATATTGTGACTACTGTTTCAATAATTTTCAAATTAAACCATACTGGACAACGGTAGGTGGTATTTTAAGAAAAACTTAAGATTTCGTAGGAACATGAAATTTCTAAATTTGTTGATACATTGAAGGATTATTTCTACAACCGGTCTTCAAATAGAACAGGATATTCAAATCTGTCAACAGAACATTGGAAGCCCAAAAATATCCGATTCAAAATGAGCTATAGCTTAGTACATACAAACTTACAGCCATAAAATTGTGAAAGTACTTGTATACGACTTTGATTTATTGTGTGATTTTACGAAATACTAAAATCTGTTGCGAAAGCTTAAAAAAATTTTAAACCCTCAGAAACACGCCATTATTCATCGATTATTATCAACTACAAAAAATACACATTATAATAAAAACGTTAAAATGGCGACGACATTACGGAAGTTATTGAAATTGTAGAAAAACAAAGACTAATTAATTGTTGCTATTAGGTAAACCTTGTCTAAATTTTGTTGTTTATATTTATTATACACTGCCACGCACAATTTTAAAATTTTATTTTTTTTATATAATCTTGTTATTTGTTCCACTTTGGTCCCTAATTCGTAATTATTGAATCAAATATAGAAATTCTAGAACAAAAATCGACAAAAACAACAAACTAATAACCAAATTGCAAGAAACCAAAAAATAATATCTTATTTGATAATGCTTTAAACGTCGCTCAGTTAGACTTAATAACGTGTATTGCCTCCTAGAGCATATTTTTAATCAAATTTCTAACTTCTTCTTGATCAATTTCTTGCCACTCTTGCGTCAATCTAAGTGTTAGCTCTGGGAGGGTAGTAGGAGGGTGCTGTAATGCTTTAATTCTTTTTCCCACTATGTCCCATAAATGCTCGATGGGATTGAGTTCCGGACTTTGTGCAGGCCAGTTCATACGTACGATTTCCACTTGTGCAAAATAAAATTTTAAAATTTTGCATTAATTTTGCGGGGCAGTGTTTTAACTTCTAAACTCATGATTTCTTGAATCACCCTTATATTTTACCTCATTTTTAGAAAAATAATTTATGACGAAACACTTTTCTTTTTTTGTTTAATTTCTTAATTTAATTAAAATTACAGCTAATTAAATTTAAGAAAATTGATTTAAACAAACTATTCGACGTTAATTATACTTTTAACAGGATAACATATTCCAAGAAAAATTGAATTATAAATAATTTGCAGGTAACCCATCTCGTCCAATTAGTCTTTGTTTTTTTTTATAGTACCTATATATTATATAGTACGATTAGTAAAAACAAGTAGTAAAATATAACTAGGTTAGGAAATAATTATATTAATTTCTACAGTAAGTGATAATTTTATTTTGAAGGCTTCACAGATATGCATAATGCATAAATATGCGTTGGATATTACCCCACTGCACTGCTTTAATGAAAGATAAAAGAAAAACTTGGAAATCATTGGAATAACATGAAAAATGGTCTGACGTAAGTATGTGATTTTCAACGTACTTTATAAAATATATAGTCTTGCTCTGTTTATGTTTGTTGTTCTACTTTTATGTCAAGTTTTTCCAGTTGGTAAATGGTATTTGTATTTATGCCTTGAAAAAAGTAAATGTATGGTATTTAACTATTTAACCATTTCAGACTTAATGAGGATATATGTATTTGCCTTCAATACCAATATATTATATGTATTGATATATTAATATTTTTTAATATTTTAAACATGGCTTACATACATAATGTATGGAAATAATTGTTAAAGGTGATGCCAAAACATGTAGACACCGTGGTTATTGTTTGAATAAATAACTGATAGGAATTAGGAACTTGTTATTTATCTAGTATTTGGTATTAAAATTTAAGATAGTACGAGTATATTGTGATTCACAGCTGTCGACGCGTTTCAACAGCTACGCTGTCATCTCTACGGACTAAACTGTCAAAGAACAGGTTGTTGAAATTTTTGATGTTGATGTGGGGATAATGTTTGTGTTAGTGTCACTACTCCGAGTGATTGTTCTAAAGGTACCAAAATGTAGGATGTATATTCATATAGTGAAAATTATAAAAATTCCTTTAAACTACAAGTTGTAATATTTTTGGCCAGTTTCTATGTCCTCTTCTAAAAATAAAATAAACTGTGACAGTTTTGCAATTATTAAAATATCAAATAAATTATTTATAAAAATAAACACATAATTATGCAATTACAGCTGACACACGCAATGGGTCAAAGTTTTAATTCCAATTTCCATGTGGTCAAAGAAAAAACAGAATTTTTTACAAATGCCACTGAAAGGAAATTCAATGAAAGCAGTATTTTATTTATTTTGACGGAAGACTGATTTCTAGCTGAAAAAGAATATATATAAACGAAAAAAAAAAAAAGGGGTCGTACACAGAAAGTGCATGTAAAGTTAAGATATTTTTTAAACGCAAGTGGAGTTACAGACAGGGTGTAATTATACTTAAGTTTGTTTTAAATATTTAATTAGTTAAGTAGTTAAGATATACACTGACCGGCAAAAAAAACCGGCCACCCTGAAAAATTTCGCAAAACCAAACTTTAAAAATTATTAATTAAACTAGTGATCGTTATTTTATTAAAGAACCATTCACTGTTGACACGTGATATATAAATTAACAAAAAAAAATTGGTCTAAAGAGTTTAGACAGTACTTCCCTCGCTGTCGGAAACGTGACGACTGCATGCCTATTATGTTTTTTTTTTCGCAGTGGATTTCAAAGAATTCGGTTTTGTAGTTCCTGAGTAAATCAATAAAATAAATTTACGCATTCATTAATTTTTTTGAGTCACCCTGTATATGCAAATCCAAAAAAAAATCAATGGAGTGATAAATCACAAGTACAGACTCATCATATTTTGTACAGTTTAGATAGGATTTATTCGGCAAACTTTCGAGCTGACGTCATCAAGTTTTTGGAGGGGATAAGCAAATATATTTTGACTAAACATTTATTATGCTCTTTATGACCTTAAAACATCTGCAAGATTTCAGAGCATTCGGTTTTGTAGTTCCTGATTAAATCAATAAAATATATTTACGCGTTCATTAATTTTTTTGAGTCACCCTGTATATGCAAATCCAAAAAATATGAATGGAGTGATAAATTACAAGTACAGACTCATCATATTTTTACAGTTTAGATAGGATTTATTCGGCAAACTTTCGAGCTGACGTCATCAAGTTTTTGGAGGGGATAAGCAAATATATTTTGACTAAACATTTATTATGCTCTTTATGACCTTAAAACATCTGCAAGATTTCAGAGCATTCGGTTTTGTAGTTCCTGATTAAATCAATAAAATATATTTACGCGTTCATTAATTTTTTTGAGTCACCCTGTATATGCAAATCCAAAAAATATGAATGGAGTGATAAATTACAAGTACAGACTCATCATATTTTTACAGTTTAGATAGGATTTATTCGGCAAATTTTCGAGCTGACGTCATCAATTTTTTGGAGGGGATAAGCAAATATATTTTGACTAAACATTTATTATGCTCTTCATAACCTTAAAACATCTGCAAGATTTCAAAGCATTCGGTTTTCTAGTTTCTGAGTAAATTAGTAAAATAAATTTACGCATTCATTAATTTTTTTGAGTCACCCTGTATATGCAAATCCAAAAAATATGAATGGAGTGATAGATCACAAGTACAGACTCATCATATTTTGTACATTTTAGATATGATTTATTCCACAAACTTTTGAGCTGACGTCATCAAGTTTTTGGAGGGGATAAGCAAATATTTTTTGACTAAAGATTTATGATGCTCTTTATAGCCTTAAAACATCTGCAACATTTCAAAGCATTCTGGTTAGCAGATTAAAAATTAAATTTCAAAATGTTGTTTTATAATTTTGATTTTTTTTCCAAAAATCTGGACGTTTCGAGTGAAAAGTCGATTCGGAGTTGTAAACTACATGTGTAGGACTATGTTATTTTATACAATTGAAAACCCATTTACTATGTACAATTTTGAAGTGACGTCATCGCATTAGTGGTGGGGATGATTAGACAAATTTTGGTTAGCGTTTTACCATCTACATAATATTCTTAATATAAGTACAAAATTTCACAACAATCGGTCGAGTACTTTCGGAGATTATCTGTCTAATAAAAATCCGGGACAACAGACGGACAGACGGACGGACAGACGGACAGACGGACAGACGGACAGACGGACGGACAGACGGACAGACGGACAGACAGACGGAAATGGGAGACCTATTTCTTCGTCTTCTAGGGGTCATGAAAGATCGAGAAAACGTAAAAGTAGAGAGTCGGCCGACGGACTCGATTACAATACTTCCTTTGCTTACGCTCGGGAAGTAAAAAAGAAGACAAATAAACCCAGAATTAAATTTAATTTAACAAAATAACAGAATCAGAGCGACAATTTGAGAGAAGTCTGTAAAAGAGTTGACGGTATTGTTTTCGCGTGAAAACGTTTATTAACTGCCAAACTTATAATCAAATGATGAAAAACACTGTTGACAACAACAACCTCCTTTATTGTTTTAATTAAGAAAATATCGTACTTGGTCTGTTTGTTATTTTGTTAACTTAAATTTAATTCTGCGTTTATTTGTCTTCTTTTTTTTACTAATTTGAAGATCATGTGTCAATAGTGAATGGTTTTTTTAATAAAATACCGATCACTAGTTAAATTAATAATTTTTAAAGTGGTTTTGCGAAATTTTTCAGGGTGGCCAGTTTTTTTTTTGCCGGTCAGTGTATCATTAAATCGTAATAAATCTCAAGCTGTAAACACATCTTTTAAATAATAAAATATATTCAATGCTGTTATTTTAATATTTTTTTTTTTTTTCTTTAGTAGGACACAAACTTTACCAAATTCTACATTTTATGTGAATAAACTGAGAGTTATTTCTAGAAAAGTTGGATAGTTATAGTTATCCTTTGCATCTGAGAAGCGTTGAACTTCATTTAGGTACTCGTAATTTGGTGTGTAGAAGGCATATTTGTGTAAGTAGTTCCACAGATAAATGGGTCCAAATATCAAGTTGTTTTATATAGGTACATGACCAGTTTATAAATTGACTTATTTGACCTTAACAAAGTTAGTCACAGAGATAATTTGCGGTTACGGGTGAGTGAAAATGTTTTTATGTTGGACGGATGTTTTTTTGCGAACATCAGATTTCGCAAGTATAGGGCTTAAAAAAATTCTTCTGGGTAACAAAACCCGCCCCTAGAATTTAGAAACATGATATATTTTAATGTTGTCGATGATTTTATTGCAGACATTGAAACAAACAGCAATGAAACGTAATTATAACTTATAAATATCCACTCGTTAGCGATACCAACTCTAGTTATCCTCTTTAGTGTTTTGTGTATAAAATGAATTTGTCATTGGGTGGCTAATAATAAAATCAAGGACTATAAACACCACTCGTTATTTTTACGCACATTTTTTACTAACTACGAGTACCTCGACAGAAAATTCAGTTCCAAAATTTTATCAGTGTACAACAGAAGTATAAGAGTGAACTATGTTTTTTTCATAAAAATTGTTTTATTTCTATATAACATAATAGTCCAAGTTTTTTAATTTTACTAAATTTTAACCTTAAAACAATAAAAAAACCGCGGTTCGTTGGTTCGTATGTACGTATCTAAAAAAGAAATTCGGCATAGTTTCGTGTCGTAAGAACACCATGAATGAATGGGGTTATGACTTTCCAATGTTAGTTTTACTTTCTATTCATTTCAATATTTGAAGATGTCGGTAGGAAGACACTTTCTTTTATCGCTTCGAGTAATCTGATCTAATACTATTACATTTATTTTCACTCACCTGATGGTTTTACCCGAACAATCAGCTTGTCTCTGGGAGAAGTGGTGAATGTCTTGGAGTCAAAGATATCCTGCAAAAAAACGAGTTAAGTTTCTTGACACTTAACCTCTTACAGATAATGAAATTGTATCTCGTGCCATCTTTTTGCGCCTTTGAACTTTCGATACGTTTGTAATTTAAATACCGGTGAAGTGTCAAGCAAGGTGAACTGTTTTTAGTTTGATAATATGTTAACTTATTTTGAAGTTGCGATGATTCAGACGTCATGAGTATGTAAATCTACACTTGACCATGGATTTTTATGGCATGTAACGTTGTTAGAAAGTGGAATAATAAAACAAACAAAAGAAATTATCTGTAGCAGTAAAGATAAGCAACGTGAAATATTCTGTTCCACTAAAATGTCCAAGCATTAAAAGTGTGTTCATGATTACGAAAACATGTACAATTGTACATTATCAAATAAAAACTTTTGAAGTTGCTCATTCTTTTTAAAGAAAGGGTTCTTAAATGACAATAAATTTTCCACACAAACCGTTCTCAAATGTGATGCAACATATTGAAAAAATACTTCAACTTTTACTTTCCTTCTTGGTGAAATAGTTTTTTTTTCTCTATGTATATAAATTAGTCTGTGTTTACTAATAGACTCGGTACCTACGTTATTCATTGGTTTCGGATCTTATGGTCAACAACCGCTGTTGGACTTTGTCTTGAGTTTAAGGAAGTCGACTTAATTTATAATAATTTAATTGCCTTAAAATTGTATGATTGTTGGTTTTTCATAGTAATAAACATGCAACGGTTCTAAACTGACCCTACTAATAAAAAATGTGATAAACTATAAATATATTAAATGTTTGTAAATATTATTTAGTATCAGTTGTCATTTGAAAGATCTAATTTGCGTATTCGCTGTAAATCTAAATTCAAATGATAATAAATAGATAATATTAAGATAATTTTTTACACCAAAATTGTGTGCTAGTACTAAATTTACATGATAACTTAAAAGGAATTTGGCATTCGTTTATTGTTAAGAAAAATTAATACAAGATACCACTGATGTTCATGATTCGATTAGAAATTCTCATAATCATGCTTCATAAGAATCGTTATTTGTAAGTATTCAGTCATTTTGTTCAAAATAATGTTTAAGTAAGGAAGTTTAAGTATGTTACTTATTCATGGCACAACAAACGAGTTTTTAAAGGACAGAAAATCTCAATAAAAAACGGAATGGAAATTGTGCAAGAAAAATGCGAGATACAATATCTACTCAAATCAAGATGCACTATCACAGATATACCTACCTTTAAAGCTAAAATTGTATAATATAGTTCAAATCTAAAATAAATGTCAACGTACCTATCTTACTTTAAACAATAAATAAATGCAATGTAAAGATAGGAAATAGAGAGCCCAGCCTATTATAATGCTAAGTATAAGTTTAAAGAAATAGTATAGTCGTTCAAATAAATTATACTCCGATTTTTTTCTAGACAAAATGCTGCATATTGCAATGATTTTTTTGTTGCAATGCAAGCACACATGTTATTCGAAATATTTATAGCAAAATATGTTTTATCTCAAATGCCACAATTACTTTAAAACTAGCTTGTATAGCAAATATGTTTATATGACGAATAATCGACAAAACCAAATAGAGTGTAAATATTATAAGAAAAACATAGTTTCCTCTACATATTTTCTTTAGATTGGATATAATTTATTAATTATTGTGTAAATGCATGAATGGAACAATTCCAGTCAACTCCGAAATGAAATAAATTGAATCGAATGCTCGATCTTTATGTATATTTATTTCGTGATTATAAATTCTAACGGTTACAAATCCAACCTGCAATATAAAATAATTGTGGGGAACGTCACCTCGGATTCAAATATTGTGTATCTTTAAAAATAATAATAACTATAGTAGTATATGTTTTCCGTCAATGTTTTATAACATTATAGGATCGTCATTGTAACACATTGAAATAAAAACAGTACCATTAAATAAACAAACTTTTAACAACGGTCATGTAGCAAACCTTGAGTTATGTAAGCAGGTAGCACATTCTCCTAATAAGAAGTTTCTTCAAATTCTCTTTAAGTGACTTATTTTCTGGTAAACATATAGGTAAATGACTTGAAGTGAATATAATTTATTTAAATATTCCATTCGAACATTTTTAGGATCTGCTGACGTATTCGTAGTCTAGAAAAAGTCATACACTTATTTTTTTTTTACTTATTTAGTTTATTGAATGTAATATAAAAAAGTGAAAATGTTATGTTTTAAGCTGTTTTATTAGATGCATACAAATTAATCACAGAGGAATCGGTGAGAATGAAAGAAAATCATCTTATAGGTTATGCCGGTGCAAACAGTAGGTAATCAATTTTTGGCTGTTTTTTTAACTACATACCTTTTTGTCATACACTGATTTCTGTTTTGTATAAACGGAAACTGAGATGCAAAATAAAGTCCATATGTAAAAATATATACAGAGGACAATCTTGTTAAGACTTATATTAATTGCTCTTTAAATTGTTGTGTGAAAACTGTGAAAAATTTCAAGCTCAATATTAAGTGTAAATTAACAAAAAATTAAAATATTTATAAATATTAAGTACAGGCAACCAACATTTCTCCTTACCTTAATTGTATATTGCTCTGCTTCAGTAATATTTAACTCCGATAAAGTCACGTTTAACATGTAAGGATAACCATCCACCCTATTACTCAAAAAACCAATAGCATAAGACGGGGCACCGTTTTTATCTTTGGGTAAAATCGGCTTTGTCCAAATATCAATATTCTTAAACTAAAATTGCGAATCATTTAAATTAAATTCAACACAATACTTTCTGAGCTTTACCGTAGTCACCAATCGTCCTTGAATGCCCAAAGAGTCTTGATTAATTTTTATAATCTCTTTATTTAAGAGTATGTCTCTAAACCTAGGCTCTATAGTTCTTAAATCGACAGACATGATCAAAGGGGCAGCCATTATTGCCCATATCGCCATTTGAGCTTTGCTTTGTTCGTAGCTGAGACCAAAATTGCCTATGATTAGCATATCTGGATCATTCCAGTGACCTACTCCAGAAAAGGATGCTATGCGGTCTTGGTTGGTGCTAAACCATTTCAAAATACTGGTGACGTTGGACCACGTGTCGTCTATATCGTCCCAGTTTCGCCATAGGTTGCACGTGTCTTGTAATGCAGTGTAATTTGGCTAAAAAATGTTTATGGCATGAACTGAAAATATCTATTTTTTAATTGTAAAATTTTTAAAGTGGTGACGAATTTGTTTGGTTTAAAATTTACCTTAACACCTTTAGGTTCTTGGTAGGCAGGCCAGCTACAAGAATATACTATAGGACGTCCTGTTTGATTCAAATAATTGCCCATTTCAATATAACCTGAAAAAAATTTAATCTTTCAGTAAATTAATTATAAAATTATGCTACTTAAAAATTAAATACCTGGTTGTAAATCTGTAAGGTCTGCATAACACCCATCCAGTTTCAAGTAATCAACGCCCCAATCAGCAAACGTTTTAGCATCAATTTCTAGATATCCATGACTACCTGGATACCCTGCACATGTTTTGGTTCCATAGTCTGCGTATATTCCAAATTTTAATCCCTTATCGTGGACCTAAAATTCAATGATGTGCTTAAAGTATGATGAAAACCAAAAACTTGTTTATCTAAATTTTAAGGTGGACATCAACTTTTTTTTTGACAAGTTGACTTTACTGTGTTACAAATTTTGTCCTTGTTTTTTATTATTTATGTTGTATCTCCACCGCGTTTTTTTATGCCTAACATTATAAACAACTAACAGTCTACATTGCACACATTAATTGTAAACTGCCTACTTTTTTGTATTTATGGTTACCATTATTTTTCACTAATTAGAATTAAATAATTATTATTTATCATTACAAAGATTTTTAGCCACCAATTGTAAACTTTTTTATATGATCTTTTACAAATTCATTCGAAGATACAGCAAGTCACAATGGTCAAAATGTCTGATAAGAATATTTTTTTATAATACCTAGATTTATTTATAAATTTTTGGAAAATATTTTGTATAATATAAATAATAATAAACAAATGTTTAAAGCATTTAATATATTAATATCAATAACACCAGTTTACAAGGTTTTATATCCAAAGACAAAAATAGTTGAAATTAAAGGATTTGGGTTCGGGAAATTCAAATCTGAAAGCAGAAAAAATCCATCACGTTAGATTTTTGAGATATTTATATAAACATACCCCGTATTTCTTTTCTTTTATACAACTCTTGTAACTTTTTTATTTTTAAATATATATGAACATATAGTTCTTTGAGCAAATTTGTATCATTTTAACAGATCATTTACGTAAATAAATAACATGAGTATCAATTTTTCAAGCTACTAGATTGTCATCAATATTTTATTTAAAATTTTGCAAGTATTGATTTTAGAGTAATTGGTTGCTTTCGATTTTTCTACGGGAAGTGATAATAAAAACGCGGGGTTGACCTCACAAAGATCGTTTAAAATGACACAAATTTGCTCAAAGAAATACAAGTTTATCTTTAAGAATAAAGAAGTTACAGGGGTTGTATTAAATAAAAGCAACACCCAGTATATATTATAAACATTATGACTGAAAATTAAAAATGATTAACACTAGCGTTTCTTTTATTGACAGTACTGTTAGTTTCCCTTATAATAGACAAACAGTAACACATTTTCGTCCCAAAATCCTTGATACCTTGATAACAAAACTGATTTGCACTTACATTGCACGATCTCGAAGACATTTTTTATGCGACAATGGTGCATTAACATGAATCAGTTTAACACTAACGTGAAGGTAAAAGCATAGTTTATTATTTTAGATTTATGAAAAAACCTGACGTGATAAGGATTATCCGTTTTTGGATTTGTTATCAGTTAGTAATTTAGAAGTAAAACATATTTTTTTTATTTTTGGATATGAAAAAAAGGTTAAATTTATAAACTAGTGATAATTTGTTGAAGTACCGTCAGATTTATAGAGGAGAAAACCAAATAAATTTTACTGAATATCCTGTCTCTTTATGAGTAAAATTAAAAACTGAGGTATATTTTTAAAACCATCATTTTATGACACATGTCTAAAGCCAACCTTCCTTTAACTATTTTGAGTTTAGGTCATCAATTTTTTGAAAGAGAATCGCGTCGGTTAACACCTTACTAACTGACGCTCAAGTGTTTATTTAGGTTTATATATCTAAATAATGTCATGTAGAAATTAGTTTGATTTGAATGAGTTTGTCTTCTCAAAACATAGGACTAAAATTATTAATTAAACCACAATCGAACATGCGTGACGACGTCATCTACATGGATAATAGCGCAAAAGCAGTCACAGCGTATTACGAGTGCAAGAAAAAACAAGGACACGTATATCAACTTGTATTGGTGCAGTGTAATGCTAAAAATAACAGTGTTGTATTTCCAAAATGTTCTGAGAAAATGGAGTAGACCGTTCTGATTTAATCAGTAGTTCCTGAGTAAATCAATAAGATACATTCACGCATTCATTATTTTTTTTAAGTCACTCTGTAAATGCAAATCCAAAAAAATATGAAGAGAATGATAAATTACAAAGACAGACTGATCATATTTTGTACAATTTAAATAGGATTTATTCGGCAAAATTTTGAGCTGACGTCATCAATTGTTTGGAGGGGATCAGTAAATACATTTTGATTAAACATTTATGAAATTATGATGCTTTCGGAGATTATTTGTCTAATAAAAATCGGGATGGCAGACAGACAGACAGACGGACAGACAGACGGAAAAGGGTTACTTATTTATTCTCATTTTAGGGGTCATGAAAAATCGAGAAAACGTAAAAGCACAGAGCCGGCCGACGGACTCGATTACAATACTTCCTATGCTTATGCTCAGGAAGTAAAAATAGTAATAGTAAGCTAAAAAGATTATGTTGTCTCAGGGTATAACTCTCTAAAGCCTCCTCGGGTACAATTTGAAGGTGTAAAAAATGTTCGCAAAATTTGTTTTGTAGTTGTAGTCTTATTTTTGAAATTTTCTTGTCGGTTAAGCTGGATTTTCTTAGCTTTTTGTTTTTTGAAACGGCACTTATAAAATATATGTATATTTAATTCGTTTACATATTTTAATTTTTAGGTACGTTTTCTATGACTACATCACAAAATGGGTGAAGTAAATATATTGCTTAAGAAAATACTTACATAATCAGATAAGGCTTTAATTCCACTTGGAAACCTAGTGGCGTTCGGTTGTAACCTTCCTTCACTATCTCTTTCTTTGGACATCCAACAATCATCTATTATGAGATACTCATAACCGGCTTCTAAGTATCCATCTGATACTAAATGGTCAGCCATTTCTTTAAACAACTTTTCGCTAAAAATAAAACTATAACAAAAAAAAACTTTACATTGGAACCACCTGATGCATTCATCTGGATAAGCTTCACAGTCAACCAAACATCTAAATCTTTGCCAGTGCATCCATCCCATGGGAGGAGTAAGAGCAAGTCCGTTATCCAGTGTTTGTACAGACGACAAACTGGTAATAATCGAGACCAAAATCCAGATTAAGCAAATCATTTTTTAACTGAAAATTGGAAAAATAACCATATGGTAAGATAATGAGAGCACCGTTTCCGGTAGTCGAATACTGTTAGGAACACTTGCTGTACGTTTTATTTTGCATTTAAATTTCATGCAGCTGAATTAGATTGTACCTACCCGTGTGCGTAATTTGAACTGGTCACTGTCACTAATCCGTCCCTCAAAACTGCTACGCTAGTTGTAGATCTCGTTCATTTGTATGAGTTCAATAAACTAGCAAAGCTGTTTCGTTTCAACAACCTGTGCAGAATAGAAGATTATCGACTAATTTGAATTTCAAATAAAATGTGGTTTGCACTCCATCGAAGTTATTACTGAGCTATATATGTGGTTAGTGAAAATTATCATCCTTTTTGCTTATCAGTACAGAATGTAAATAAATTTCGATCGTTCGGTTAACCGTACAATACTTCGTAAAATATTTATAGTTTGTGACTGATATTGGTTTAACGAGTTGTCATTGCATCGAAGTATCGAAGAAGATAAGGTTTTAACACACAAATGACCAATGTCATGGGTCAGCGACGCGATTTTTGTCCAAGGAGTTCAACCCCTACAAACATTAAAAAATGTAAAGGAAGTTATTTTTTCCCGCGCAGTGTCATTTGCATCAAGGGCATCGATAACATGATATTTTTCTAAAAATTTTGTATTCCTACATCAAATAACTGATTTTTTACTTTTCAGGCGTAAGCTATTATTGCAATAAGGTCCATCCGGCGAACGATTAATTTCATGTTTTTCAACGTTTCCTTACCCCTAGACTATGAACAAATAGATCTTCCGTCTATCTGTCGTCGGCCGTCTGTTGAGGCATGTAATTCCGAAAGTACTTACTAGACTACTTGCAACTGTAGTGAAATTTTATGTGTTTTAGGAATATCGTGTAGATGTTAAGACTCTAATCAAAATTCGTTTGATCATCGCCACTGACAATTCGAATTTTATAAAATAACATACTTCTACACCTTTTATGAATCCGCCTTGATTTTTCGTCTTAGAGATAAAGATTTCTGGAAAACAATAAAATTAACATGTTACAATTTAACTTAGAAACTGCAAAATCGAATGCTATGAAATCTCCAAAGATTTTAATCTTATCATGAGAATAATTTATTATTCAAAATTCAAAAACTAGTTGACGTCATCTCAAATTTTTGATGCATAAATCCTATTTAAAATGTGCACAATATTGTCAGTCTACAATTGTGGTTTATAAATGCATTCATATTTTTTAGAATTTTCCATTTTCCCGAAATTTTGAGAATGTTATTATTAGTACATTTTTTAAATATTTTATTACACCTGTCCCGTATTTGTTATGAATTATGACAAACTCACCTGAAACATACATTTACATTTATTTTAACTTATAAGGATTATAAAAAAAAAATGTTAAAAAAAGAGTGCGTCGACCCAGGGATGCACGGTTGGAGTTATAACTCTGCGTTGTCAATTTATATAAATTAAACACGTATACGAGGCGAAGTAATTTTGCACCTTCGAAAAGGTTCTAGTGGAGCAACTGAAAATTAGTATTTTCTTAAAATTCAAAAAATAACGCTTGGCAAACAGGTACAAATTCCCGCAAGGGTGTCCAAAATGCGAGTATAGCAGTTTTTTGTTTCATAGCTACCTATCCTTTAAAACTTTTTGGAATTATTTGCGCAATAATTTATAGTTTTTGGCTAACCAGACGTATTTCGGAGATGAATTTTTGCACACAGTATTTATTTTCCATGTTTAATCAAGTGATGCAAATTCAAAATTAAATTGAGGCATGGAAAATTTACTTTTTCAAGATATGTAATGATTATTCTCACCGGTTCATATTAATCCTCACTTATAAAAACACCTACATTTCAAATTTCATAACAATCCGTTCAAAAATACTTGAATTATTGCGCCCGAAAGTGTTACGTGGGACACCCGGTATAAACCAGGAAGTATGCTTATTTGTTTAGAAAATTTAAAAGTGTCGAATTTTGAAATCTTTGCTGAAACGTTGCCTCTGGATGATGATCATTTTAAAATGATTTTTGAAATGTACGGACGTTTCCATGCGTATTCCTTTGCTTTGCAAGTTCAGAAACCGAAAGATTATGCAAGACTTGCCAGTAACACGCAAAAACAAACATTCTTAATGAATTTCTGATTAATCCAAATGGTCGCTCTAAGCAACACATAAAAAACTTGGGTAAATTGGTTGAAATTTCTTTGGTGGCAGGGACAGAGATGACAACAGAATGATTGAAGAGTTTAAAAAGTACTCTGGAAATGGCATTGTGGAGCAGCTGAGTGAAATTGTTACAGAGAAGCCAGATTACTCGGTCATTTTACATGGCGACTGTTGAAGCAATAATATGATGTTCAAGTATAAGGTGAGTTATAACAAATATTAATTATGTTTACAATAAAACAAGTAATTTAGGTTTCTCAGAATACTAAGAAAGTAATTGACATGCGTTTTCCAGTTAAAGATTTATCGTATTGTTTGTATTCTGGTGCTTCTAAGAAAGAGCTCGACAGTTATAATGAATATTTAAAAGTATATTATGAAAGTTGTTCGTCTTTTTTAAGAAACTTAGGAAGTGATCCTCTAAAATTGTTTCCTTTTGAAATTCTTAAAGAACACTGGAAGAAATATTCCAAATTTGGAATGATCATATCGCTCCCCATTCTCAAAATGCAGGAAACCAAGAAAGAAGATATTATAGATTTCTCAGGTGAAGTCGATGAGAATAAAATAAAGAATATGGTGTCTCAAGCCAAGTTTAACGAAGAAGGCTTCAAAAAACGAATAAAAGAAGTACTTCAACATATGACAGAAATAGGTGTTTTGTAAAATGTAAAATGTGTTATTTTTGTAATGTAATAAATTGTAATAAAACTTAAAACAAATGTTTTCGTAAATAATAAATAGTAATACCATTGTTTAAGTATATACTTAATATACTTAAATAATGGTAATACATAGAACATAAAGATGTAAATCTCCCTTTCCGTCGGTGTGTCGTTTGTTTTGGCGGACGAGTGTTATTAACCTGATAAGTGATAATATTATGCTAATTGCTAAATCGAATGTTATTTTAACTCATACGTTAATGAGGCGCTGTCATATAAAAAATATATAAATAAAACTGTAGGTATGTGAGTTATTTTGAAAATTTTGCATAATAATCCTAAAACATACATAAAAACGTAGGTATTTGTCCTACTGCAATTTCGGTTATATCAGTTGTATAATGATATAAAAACAGAAACTCATGCATCACATCTGCTCAATATCAGTGATACTGATAACTGATAAGATAACAGCGTACTTGTTGTGACTAATACCAACTTTAAGTTGCTAGTTTAGTGACTGTACGATTTGTTAAATACCTGGTAAAATTAATCAAAAATCAAACATCATGGAATTATTAAAAGAACGCCCTGACATTATAAGCTTCCTTGAAAATGTTGCCAAAGAACAAGGAATGCGCAACTATAAACTAACCAATATTCAGACTAACAAAGAAAAAGAAGGAAACATGGGATTAATCATCATGGCAACTATCGAAGAAACCACCACCAACAAAAAACTCAACCTTGTAGTAAAAGCAGCTTTCTTAGACGAAGATGTTCGACAAAACGTACCAATCGAAAGAGCCTTCTTAAACGAAATCTATTTTTACACAGAAGTTTATCCAACGTTTAAAAAATTCGAGCGTGAATGCGGAATTTTACATGGAATTAATTTTGTGCCCAAATGCTACAAGACGTTGACTGACAATGGAAAAGAAATGTTGTGTTTGGATAATTTAAAAGCTTCAAATTTTGAAATTTTCGACAAGAATTTGAATTTGGATCATGAACATGTTAGTTTAATTTTTAAAACTTATGGTAAATTTCATGCGTATTCCTTTGCTATGCAAGACCAAAGACCTGAAGAATACGCTAAACTGGTTGGGAAGTTTTACAACATTTATTGTGAGTTCTTGGATAACCCAAACGAGAACATTAAGAACTATTTGAAGGGGTCGGGTAAAGTTATTGAGGAATGTTTAATACCGGGAGAAGATGATGAGGCGATAGAAAAATATAAAAAATACGTGGATTACGGTATTGTGCAGCAAATGATTGAGGTGGTAACAGCAGACTGTGATCATTCGGTTGTTTTACACGGCGACTGTTGGAGCAATAATATGATATTTAAATACGAGGTGAGACGTGCAACTACAATGAGTACTAATTTATATAATTTCAAAATTTTTCATTTTAGACAGAAAACGATGTTAAAAAGCCAATAGATATGCGTTTCTTAGATTTGCAAGTGGTTAAAGTTGGAAGCCCTGCTTGTGATTTGTCTTATGCCTTATACTCCGGTGCTTTTAAGGACGTCTATGATAACTTAGATGATTATTTAAAAATCTATTACGAGAGTTTTTCATCCCTCCTGAAGGGGTTGGGGAGTGACCCCGAGAAATTATTTCCGTTTGAAGCTCTTAAAAATCATTGGAAAAAATATGCGAGGTTTGGAATGATAATGGCTTATGGAATTCTCACCGTAAAATCGCCTGGCAAAAAAGTGGTGCAGATAACTGGGGATGATGAAAGTTCTAATAAGTTAGTTGGAGAAGAAAATAAAAATTTTAGGAGACGATTAAGGGAGTTAGTGAAACATATGGCAAAAATTGATGCTTTATGAAGTCTTTTAATACTTCTAAACAAACTTTATAGATTATATTGCATTTTAACTACAAGAATGAGCGGATTATTATTACTTAGCAGCCCCTGTCGAGAAATGGGACGTAAATTAAGTACGTCTAGTGCTCTCACCGATTCCTAAATCCAGGGTCTGCTCACAAAATATTCCATCCTCATCGTAACAGTCACTTAATGTGTATAAAAAATAAAATATTTTTTTAAATATATACTTATATTAACTATAATTGTGTAATTACAATAATAAAAAGCCCATATAGCTTTCATAACAGTGTTACGCAAATTATATGAATATAAAAAAAAGTATACATACAAAAATTAATTTAAACCACTGAAATACTAATCGAAATCACTATTTCTAGTGTCAAAATCGTCTTCAAAAATGTCGCTAGTCTCGTCACCATTGACATTAATAATAAATTCTAGAAACTCTGATGGGTGATGATACATACATAAGAATTTTCAACTTCAACCAAGTGGCGAACGCAGTTCTTTCACAAGTCTTGACCAATTTTTGACACTTATTCTTTCCTGCTCACATCAATGATTTTATCACTTAAGCTTGGTGTTTTATTTTTTCTTATATATTTTTTTCAGATCGGTCAGTACCAGCTTCACAGGAGTACAGCTTTAATACTCTGTGTCTGTAACCATTGGCAAGTTCATCTGTAACATATTTCGGGGGAACATCGATGTTTTTGTCTTTTATGTATTTAATTATGTTAACTTTGCGTATTGCCGTTATTGGCTTTTTATCAACTTGCCTGGAATGGTATTTAGAATTGTCTATACCATTATAACTATCACCGAATTTGATGGTAAAGATTTCAATAGTTGTTCTCGAAACCAGGTTTCAAAATGAATGGCATTTTTAATATATTTTTTTTTTGATAAAGAGAAGAAATCCATTCCGTACTCAACCATTACTTCTACCAGCATGGACGATTATGATTCTTTTGTGATGTACCTACTGATGGACAAAGCTTTTGGCCTAGAGGTAAACTTATTTGACTACCTATTTAACAGTAGTCGTGTTTTCCTTTCTTGAACAGAAATGAGAGTTAAAATTGTTGATAACCAAAAGAATTCGTTTTCCGTCTTGATGTCTTTACCTAAGAGCTTCAAAGTCAGTTTGACATTTGTTGAACCCTTGGATGTTTTTTATGTAATGTCTTTTTATTACTAACCTAATTATTAATTATATTAATAAAACCACAAAATTGCCCCCATTTTTATTTTTAGAAATACTGAATTCGCCTTACATTAATTTGGCATTGATAAATTATTGTAACCCGATCTATCAAGATTGGTTTTGTGTGTTAACAAAATCCGATTATTCATAATTAAAGTTCAAGAACCTAACTTCGTGGGCATTAGGTCACGTTCAGTTTTTTGTAGCAAAATTTGAAATATAATAATTATTAGATAATTTCAAGCAGCTTTTTATATTCGTGTTCACAAAAATGAAGCTCAGTCAAACAACTATTTTGAAAATAAGACAGTAAAAACATCTACATGAGAAGTTGAAAAGAATATCAACAACGAATTACAGCAAGTCGAACCCTGATTAAAATGATTACACCTCGACATTTACATGGCTAACCCATTATTCAGCCATATAATTCAGGTGGTAAATTAAACATACTTTAGTATTAGTTAGACAATCTGTTTCGCCAAAATTAAATCTCTTTTCTCAAACAGTCATGTCCATGTGTACAATTATATTCTTTACAATTTCAAAGTAAAACATTTTTCATCGCTCATCATCCATCAAATACGTTTTAGATTTAGATACATTATGGTTCAAGTGTATAAATGTAATAAAGCTATGTTGGCTTCTGAACGTGTTCAGAATCAGAAGGTAACAATCATAGCTTTATTACGTAATTTACGTTAGAGGTCGGTACCTTCTACAGCTTAATGTCTTCATAAAACCTTTCAATTTTTTGCTTCTAAACAATAGGTTTTCAAAAGAGTAAAGCGCCTCTGATCGCAAAACGTTCGTGTCCCGTGGTGTTTTCGAGAAACTTTAAAGACCTAAAATATTCAGACGAAATGATGGAATGACATAAGGTTAGTTCTTCAATAGACCCAACATGTTCCTTAGTTCATTGTTTTAAAATATCCTCACAAAAATTCACACAATGGGGTTGAGGGTATTATCATACTTATTACACCTGACAGATGGTGTAATAAGTTACAATTATTCATAGTTCAGTTATACAAAGGTTGCGGTGGTTTTAGTGTATAGGGAAGGCGTCAACAAATGGTTTTTCAAAATGAAATTTTCCCTTTTAAAGATGAATATAAATAGCTTGCGCCAAAAGTATGAACCAAGAATTGATGCATAGATTTTTTCAGTTGCTATATCTGGTGATGTCACGATTACTGCGCATTGTCTTTTAGTTGGTTGATTAAATTATTAAGGCGGAATTCCACTGAGGCAACATGTAGTATGCGGCATTGATGCATGCTACACACAATCTTTCCATAGAAGGAACCCACAGCGACATTAATTGAAATTTTGTGCCACATTGTCGCACGCCTACAACAGGCAACACTAGGCAACAAGTATCAAGAAACATGTCGTTCAGTGTTGCCTCAATGGAATTCGGGCTTTACTAGGAAACTACTAAAACTCGCTATGCATGAAGCTATTCCATTTGATATGTCTAATATGCGTGAAACTACAAACACCGGCATTGAGGAAATTTCTTTTTATCGCATGCCACTGATGCACACTTTGAAGCGACTACAAAAACGTAAGCAATGCAGTACAAGATATCTTTTATTTTGTACTTAAAAATACTTTTTGAATGTTTTTAATTATGAACAACATTGAATACTGGGCCACCATTAAAATACAACTAATACATTAGAGTTTTATTTGGGAATAAACAGTTATGTTGTTTAAACTTTTTGGAAATAGTAATTTTTATTTAGTTTTTCATTCATTATCCAGGTACCACAAAAATTCATTGCCAAAAATACTTTGCATTTTTCAGAAGGATTGTAGAACCAAATGCCACAAAACAGCACCTGCAAAAAATTATAAATTAACATTAGAAAAGATAAGAATAAAAATATACTGAAGCATATAATTCCTAAAATATTATTCATAAGAAGAAGAAGAAAACTGTTTATATCTGACATTCACTTGACGATGATCGAGTGATTCATTTAAAGACTTTAAAGTCGTTGTAGTCAGAATCAAGTACTCATTGGTTTATATTTGAGCATTTGTTGGTGTAACAAAAAATATAATTAAAACCGTAGATTTTTTCGATTATAAAGATTTAAACTGTAAGATATAAATCTGAACAACAGATGACATTTTAAAAGCGACCTACTCACATACTTAAGAATTTAATTAGTGAAAAATAAAAATTGTAGGTAGTTCTTTTATGATAAATTGATCTAATTTCCAAATCAAAATAAAATTCCTTACCTGTGGGCTTAACTCTGACTTCAAGAGTGTCAATACTTCTTACAAGAATATCTTCTGTGTCTCCAAAGACATCCTGTAAATCAACATCTTATTGTACGGAAATGTGCACACAAAAACACGCACTCACCATCAGTACATAAGCTCCAGGATACTCCAAGTCCAACAATGATTCCAATGTAAATTCTAGTCGGTACGGATAACCATCCTTTCTATTACTGACAAAACCGACGGCTAGTGAAAACTGCTCGCCTGCCACTGGTGAAATTCTTCTCATCCACACGTCAATATTGTCAATCTATAACAATGTTAAAGTCAATGATACTTTGACAAACATCTTTGATTTACGGTTTTATGCACGTGCCCTTGAAGACCTAGAGGATCTTGACTAATATTTAAAGCGTGTGGATTCAAAAGAATGTCTCTAAATTCTGGTTTTATAGTACGCAGATCCACAGACATGAGTAAAGGTGAGGCCAGAATAGTCCAAATTGTCATCTGTGCTTTGCTCTGTTCATAGCTAAGCCCGTAATTGCCAATGAGCAGCTGAAAATAACATGCTATGATTGACCTTTTGTGTTTGTATAATTACCATATCAGGGTCATTCCAGTGTCCCGGCCCTGCAACTGAAGCAAATTTCTCTTGGTTGTCCTTAAAGTAATTAACGATACTGGTTAGGCTGTCCCAAGAATCTTCAATATCGTGATAGTTTCTCCAGAGATTACAAGCTTCAATAGCAACTGAGTAATTAGCCTAAAACATACATTATTAAATAAGTCAGTGTAAAGTATTCCGCACAAAAGGCATACTGCGTCTCCTCTATATAGCGGAAATTCGCAGGAAAATACAATCGGTCTTCCAGTTTGATTCAGGTACGAAGCCATTTCCAAGTGGCCCTGCTCCATGGCTTCATCAGCGACAACGTTACACCCGTCGAATTTCAAATAGTCGATTCCCCATTCTGCAAAAGTGTTAGCATCGATTTCTAAATGGTCCAGACTTCCTGGATATCCGGCGCAAGTATTCGTTCCATAGTCTTCGTATATTCCTAATTTGAGACCCTTGTCATGGACCTGGCTCAAGATACTTGTTTTAATTCTATAGTTTTCTATTTTCTGTACTTACATAATCTGCAAGGGCTTTAATTCCGCTGGGGAATCTGTCTGGGTCTGCTTGAAGTCGACCATCACTGTCTCTTTCTGAAGATAACCAACAATCGTCCATTATGACGTACTCGTAGCCAGCTTCCAGATAGCCATCTTCAGCCATACGATCGGCCATCACTTGGAAGAGTTTTTCACTAAAAGTATATGTTTTGAGTATGTTATTGTTGGAGTTTGGGTTATAATAATCAAAAACCTAATGCAGTCGTCTGGAAATTGTACACAATCTGTAACACATCTAAATCTTTGCCAGTGCAACCAGCCCATTGGTGGAGTTAAAGCTAGACCATTATCCAGTGCATCTGTTGGTAGGAGCACAAAGAGTGACGGAATAAGGAAAGTCAGTAACAACATATTGCTGCAAAAAATATTATTATTATTATTATTATTTTTATGCTTTTTATATACGATCCCAGGACTACATGACAAAAGCTCGTACCTATTTAGCTTTTTTAATTATTAGTAATTAACATTACAAAGTTCTAATATTAAACTCTAATATTTTGATATGGGTTCTTGACACTAAGATTGAAGTTATACAGTTGTCAAGGCTCCTCCACACAGTCATTAAAAGAGGCCAAAATAAGGCAAAACATGACATAAAAATCTTTAAGGAAGAGTCTTGTATTTTTTAAAAAACGTAGCGGTTTTTAAAATAAAAAATAAAGTGCGTAAAACCCGAGCGGATTTTTAGCGAAAACTATAACTTGGTGTGCTTTTAAAAAATATCGAGGTGATGGAGAATTTTTTTCTACTTTAAGCGCCATTTTTCGTTTTCTGTTAACATTTTACTTCTTTTAGTTATTGTAAAAAAACTGCAAAACATTTGGGGCAAATTTTGGTAAGTTAGGCAACCCAAAATATTAGCTGAGGCCGTAAGCTGTAATTTATGGTCCACACAATAGAGGACCTTTTAAATATCTTAAGCTTTTATTTGACCACCTTTTGAAGTACCTGACAATAGCATTATGAAGGATAAAGGCGAGTAAAATTTTTACAGAAATATGATGACATTTCTACGTTGTTGTTTTGATTTGATTCCCCCTTTTAATTAAATGAATGATATTAATTAAATGGAATTTTATTATTGGAATACATTTATTCAAGCTATATTAGGGATGTAGGATATGTCTATGACAATATGTACAGTAAAGCAAATAAAATTGCAGCTATAAATTACTACAGTTCCTAAGAGAGGAGTACTTGTACTGCACAAATGGAAACGGGTACATACAAACTGGCTGACGCGGTCGGTTTTTTAATGCGGCGCCGAATATTGTGGGTACCGCGTCAATTCGTCGCGCGACAATTTTGATCGCAAACAACTGTTCGCAGCGCAATTGGTCGCAGCGACAACTGCTCGTAACGACAACTGGTCGCAGTCACAATTCATCGCAACACAATTCGTAGCAAGTACAACTGGTCGCATGCGACAATTGATCGCAGGCGAAAAGTGATAGCGTTTATAGAGAAAATAAGTAGGAGTAATTGTTATGAATGAGGAAAATAAAATAAAGTGCTATATTCTCAAAAAGTTCATTATTTCTAAAAAAGTGTCAAAATAAATACATACGAGTTCCATAAAAACAGTAACTATTATTAGGCGCATTTCCGACTAAACCAAAGTGCAAAAAAGTGAAAATATTGTAAAATATTTTTTTTAATGCTGACACATATTTCGTCGGTATGCTACTGTAATGTTCATTTAGATTATTCGTCTTATTAATTAGACACTCAAGTAAGCGATTCATGCTTTTTTTCTCACAAGTTTAAAGTTTGTCAATTAAACGAGTGAAAAAAATAGCTTTCAAAACGTGTTACACACGTCATTTTTTTAAATAAAAAATGGCTTTTAAATTATTACAACTGTCAAATTAAAAATTTATAGATTTATCATAATCAATGAAATCGTGAAAAAACCCTCGTTACAGTTTTAAGTGAAAAAGTATTATTTTCATTACGTTTGATATTTTAAAAACTTAAATATATATATATTTTTTTAATAAATTTGGTGCAAAGAAATTTGAATTTATATATTAACAATTAATTACTGCAGCTGAGTTTACTGCATTCTTTGCAGACAATTTTTTGGTCACTACAAATTAGTTCTGGATTATCTTTAATCCATGATAAAACCAAAGATGTTTTTTCATTCAGAACTTTTTTGAACGCTCACACTGTTAATGAGGCGCTTGTAGATACGAAAGAATGAATAATTTATCTCATTCCCTTTGCTAAGTACCTGCATACCAATCTCCACTTTTACGCCATTTGTGTAAACAAGATCGTAAAAAGATTAGTTTTGGTCATGGAGCAAAGAATATACTCATACTGGAGGAGGTAAATATATCATATATATTATGAAAGTTGTTTACAGCATTACAAATGTTGTTAATAGGAGAGTATTTCATGAGATTGGTCCTAGCTTTGCTGTTGTATAAAATATTCCGCCTTCTAACCATAACCGTTGAACAACTAAAATTAAATAAGCTTAACAAATATGGACAGCTGATGTAATTATTAATCAGTTTTACAAAAAACCGCACATAAGCAGTGTTTATTCCATCGGCAATGCTTAACATGGAAAACTTCGAGAGCAACTCTTCTTGTGGATATATATAGAAACATCTTAAAATTTAAATGCTTTAGAAATCTTCTTTGAACTCTTTCTATTTCCATGATATATGTACTGTAATGTGGATACCTCACAACTGCCGCATACTCAAGTTTGCTCCTAACCAGAGAATAATAGAGCAATTTAACTGGCGTTTCACTTTTTACATCAGTACAATTCCTAACTATAAAACCAAACATTTTTAGTGCTTCCGATATAATAGTATTAACATGATTTGTGAAAGACAGATTTTTATCAAAAATAACGCCCAGATCCTTTACCTGAGATTGTCGCAAAATAATGTTGTTATTGAGGGTGTAGTCAAAGTCTATCAAAACTCTTATTAAGGTGAACGATAAAAGGTAACACTTCTTATAGTTTAATTGAAGAAGATTCTTTGAACACCACGAATGTACCTTATCTAGGTTCGATTGCAAAACTAGACAGTCTTGGATGCTAGTAATGCGAAATACGACGATATAGTTTCATTTAGTCAGCATACAGAAGAACAGAAGATCTGATATCATTGGCAATGTCATTTATGAAAATATGAAAATTAGGGGCCCAAGAACGGAGCCTTGAGGGACGCCTGAGGTAGCAGTGAAATTGGATGAACGAAAGCCACAACATTCAACAAAGTAGTTACGTTCAGTAATGTAACTAGTGAAAAGTAAATATAATTTTTCAGAAAAACCGAATTCTAAGAGTTTTCGCAGCAAAATACCGTGGTCCAATCGATCAAGTGCTTTTGAAAAATTTGTGTACACAACATCAGTTTGACAGCCATTGTCTAAATTGCTAGCGAGATCTTGAGATATGGCCATTAAATTCGTAACTGTGGAGCGGCTTTGAACGAATCCATGTTGGGCATCACTTAAATGATGTGTAATCTGGTAATAGATAGTGTCATGCAAAAGAGATTCAAAGATCTTATTCAGAAGAGAAATAGGACGGTAGTTCTCTATGACCGACTTGTCATCTTTTTTAAAGAGGGGGAAAATTTTGGATACTTTCCACTGACCAGGAAAAGTTTGTGTTGACAGTATTATGTTGTAGAGGTATGTTAGTGGTTTAGAAAAAATTCCGGCGCAATCTTTGATCAAAAATGCAGGAATGGAATCGGGACCCGCAGTGTTATTGGATTTTAAGTTTCTTATTTTTAAGAACACTTCGTCTTCAGATATTTCAGTGACAGAAAAGTTATTGTAAGACATAGAGTTCCCGTTGTTAACTGGGCCAAAAATACTCGATGGTTGAAAAGTTGATTTAAAATAATTAGCAAATGAATGCACAATTTGATTATCTCCAAAGACTGTTTCATTCAGGTAAGTCATATTGCAAGGGACACCGGAGTTCCCTTTCTTTAACTTCACAAATTTCCAAAATTCTTTTGGGTTCGATTTTATGTTTGATTCAGCTTGAGCCACAAAATTTCCATAGGATACTCGAATTTCTTTCTTGACAAGCTTCCTGAATTGTGTAAATTCCTCACGATCGCTAAGTAATCCTAATTTCTTCCATAATGAATCCTTCTTCTTAATTAACTTAATAATCTTTGCTGAAAACCAGACAGGATATTTTAAGGAACGGGGTTTGGTTCTGGGCACAAAACGCTCCAAAATTGAAAATAGGAATTCATAGAATCCCTGACAAGCTGAATTAGCATCATGATATCTGAGTAAAAAATTCCAGTCAGAAAGCAACAGCTCACTGTATAGTTACTGAAAATTAGCTTTACGAAAATTGAAACAAAAAATTGTATCAAGGCTTAATTCTGTAGGTGATTTTGAAATGTTCAGATTATATGTCCAAGTTAAGGACAGATGGTGTAAGTCTTCTCTTACTAGAGGTTCATTTGCCTTAGAGATGGTAATACACTCATTAGAAATTACGAGGTCAAGAATCCGATTAAGATTATTTGTAATATTATTACACTGATGTAAAAAAAGAAACGTGAGGAAATCCGAAAGGTGTTTGACAGATGGTGCTAAATCCACAGAGTTACTAAAACTGCTGTATGCAGAGGTAAATTAAAATCTCCAGCAATAAATACATTGGAGTCATACAAATAATTACATTGGCATAGAGTTTCAAATAGCAGAGAATATTCATTGGTAGATAAGGCAGGGGGAATATAGAGTAAGAGAATTGAAGAATGCATTTTTGAAAATAAAGTTTGATGCCAATTAAGTCGACCGATAGCAGTGACGTTAAATTTATATTACTTAGATCTAATTTTACAGCCCTTATAGATGAATTAACGGCTATTAAAACACCACCTCCTCTAGAAACATTTAATGTATCGTATTTCCTATCTGAACGGAAAATACGATAACTGGGAGGAAAAATTTCATTATCTGCTATACTATCATTAAGCCACGTCTCCGTCAGTAAAATTATATCATAAAAATTATCTGATACATTTAGATAAAAACTTGATAATTTAGAAAAGTTTATTGAGGGGCATTTCACTCGGAAGACCGACTATTCACTCAGAATTATTTGCCTAATCTGCCGGATGTAGGTGGACAGATGTAAACTGCGGCTTTAATCTTCTCCAGCCCATGTTGTAAATTTTTGTAGGATGCAAAGTGCGGAGAAGAATAAAATCAGGTAGCAGCCCGTAGCAGGGTCATTCATGGAAAACTGCGAACCAATTATTTCTTCCTTTTCTTTAGATCTAAGAGCTGTTTTACACGTCACAGAAATATCTATCGTCAAAAGAATTTTTAGAAATAACTTTCTTGTGATTAATCGGTTGCAAAAGATCAAGAGCACTCGAAGTACGCCCTGACAAACTTATTAGCGGCGGCAGCGGAGATCTCCAACTAGCTGCGGTACCACCATGAACACTCGCGTAACCTCTTTTTACAGAATTGTCAAAATGACATTGTCAAACTCAAGGCAATCATGGATTAAGCATTTCATTTTAAATTCAGTTAGTATCAAGTGGTACACGGTATTCGTATTTTGGGTTGCGTAAAAATAATTTTCAGAAGTAATTTTCGCGTGACTAGCCCTGTATATGTATTTTTTACACCCACATATGGTACAACTGAATTTTTCTTCAGTACAATACTAGTCACATAATAATAATTAAAAAGTAAGTTTTTAGTTGCATAAGTACTTACATTTCTTAGATTTCCCGGTAACACAAAATTATTCTTGACGCTCTAACAAAAGTTTTTGCAATATGTATATATTTACAATACACGTAAACCTTTCTCAAACCCTATAAAAGATCTGTTGCAATTTACAAGAAATTACAATAAGTATTATATCCGTCCAGTGGAATTTACATTCGCTACATATGGATACTCTAGATGTATTATTAGTTCATAAATTTTATTGTTTGGTGATATGTATAAAGACAAGAATAGACAATAGAGACAATTCTGTATCAAAATGTGTTAAAATTTAAAGGTTGTTAAAAATATGATTTTTTAAATAATTGTATAATAAATCTAGTTAAGAACAATAAACACTTTTTGTATGTTGAGTATTTATTATAATGAAGTAATATAATAGGTAAAATAAGCAACGACATAAATAGTAACAATCTCTTAAAAAAAAGACCAAAATGACAATTTATTAATAAAAAATCTTATGTAACAAGGTGTTTACGCTCGTATTTTTTAATTTTCAAAGTGCAACTACAAACTTCGTCACTTATCTATATTCAAATTGTTTTTAATTCAATATTTACACCTTACCTGATTACTAAATTTATTGCAACTTAAAATTCAGAATACAAAATATTTAGTTTTAATAAAAGAAAATACTTCCCTATGAACTTTACGTGCGATAAATTGTCGCTACGATCAATTGTCGCCGCGATCAATTGTTGCGTGCGACCAATTGTTCTGCGACGAGTTGTTTACGATCAATTATCACGCGATCAGTTTTTTGCGACCAGTTGTCGTAGAATCAATATTGAGTATAGGTACGTTGGCTCCGACAGTATGAAAGGCAGAGATAGATTTTATGATACCAAAGAATTTTTAAGCAGAAATTTATAAATAGCAAAAAGGTGTGATCGGTTTGCGTTTTGTAAGTTTGGAAAACAGAGTGCTGACATCTCTGCTTCTATACACTATATTTAAGTATTAAACAATCACAGGAAAATATCTTCATCAATAAGATCATATTAATAAAATAAAAATAATAATAAAAAAGCAAAGGCCCCTTCAAAGTATAAAATTCAACATTTTACACTTATTGCCAAAAAAAACTTAACATTTGTGTACAATTTTTTTTTTCAATATATTGCGGAGTTGCTGATTTCGACTCCACCACGACTCAACAATTTCTGGTAGCATGGCATTTAAATAAAAATTTTCTAACGCATTTACCATATGTTTATTCCAGAAGTCATCATCTTTTTCAATCAAAAATATTCTAAATCTACGTTAGTGTACATGATAAAATAACACCATTTTCTTTTAGTTATATGCAGTGGACCCTGTTATACCTGATACATATAGTTGTTAGGGTTCAAACTAATTGTATTATCTGCATTTATTGAACAATAATTAATGATTTTGTTTTAAATAGCTTCTTTAATTTTTGTACTTTAAGCCGCATATGAACATTTATTAATCTCTGTAATTGAATTAGAATTTATTAACTCATCTGGAGAAACTCCTAAAAATTTCTTTCAAATTCGTTAGAACTTCAAATTTTTCTTTGGCCTTTTCTTCATTGTCAGTACCAAATTGTATAGACTTGGGCAATTTTTTCATTAAAGTTTTATCAGAATGCACAATACTTTTAACGGTATTTGCGGTGTTAATTCCGTCTCTCATTTTGTCCTTTCTTTACTCCATTCACTACACATTCGCTGACCACAAGTACCGTTTTCAGTAGCGTTTACGTTACTCTGTGACAGCTTTATTAATAAATCCGATTTTTTTCTTTCATACACTTCAGGTAATATATCCGCAATTTTCGTTTGTTCATCGTCGACGATATTATTTTTGCCGGAATCCGCACTTCGGGTACGCAATTTTTTAATAGAGGTTTTAGTTTTATTAATCGTTTTTATTTTTTTCAATTTTTTTTCGCAAACGCCTTCGTATACTAACATCATTGGCCTCCCCAAAATTTTGTTTGAATAACGGAATTAGGAATGTACCCTTATTATTATAGCTTATTGCCACAGCAAAGCATCGCCCTTGATACGATCCTCGTGCAGAAAAACTTATTCTTTTTCCTCCCACAAATTTATTAACGACAGAATTGTAGCATTCCACAGCATTATTCTCAATATCAAAAAGTAAACTAGACGACAAAGTTGCAACTCTATTTAAAACTTGTTTGTAAGGTTCGTATAAAACACCATTTGCGAAAGTATAAAATAAAGTATCATTTGACTGTCCACTTTTATAGCAAAAATAGCTTGCACATTGTTCGTGATTGTTATCAAAGTTTGGAGCTACTGACGCAAATGCGTTAAAATCAACTCGTATTAAATCTTAATTCTGCATGCAGTCTCGTAATAAAACATTGATGTTTATGTTATATACTTCAATAACAAAACAGTTATACACTTTCACAAAATAATTTGTAATTATGATGAACTACAATAATTTGTTTATACCTCGACGTCAAGGATACAATTTGTCTGTTAGATGATGAGGAAGCACACAAGTATTTAGCAGATTTATAATCTTAGCCGGCATAGATAGGCGTGTTAAATTTTGAAATAATTTCTATAAACAAATAAAAAAATGCTTATAATTCTATGTAAATCACAATAATAATAATGAATAAATACATTTCGGAATCCTAATGTATGACAGCAACAACCTGAGCAAATAATTAACAAAACTACGTAATTTAAATATGATAACTGTAAAAAAAAAACATCAACTAGATGACACTTACCGGTAATTATGTAGGTATGATCTACACATTAAACAACAACACTAGAAATGGAATCACTGCAGTTTCTCGCTGAAACTTATCGATAGTGATTAGATTATTATCAATTAAATGTCTATGGCATTTGATTTTGTATTCAAATTATATAAAAATAGTTATAGGTACACACTGGCTACTTTTCTAGGTATCTACAAATTTTTGATTTCATAGAAACATGTTTTTTTAAACAATTTAATGAATATTCAATATAAGGTACGAGTCAAAAAATTATCACGGTGCAGAATTTTTGCCTAAATGTATTAAAAGAAAGTGAAGATACGTGGTTGATTGAGCAATCCCATTTTTAATTAATTTAATAAAACATTTTCACAAAAAACACAAAACTGAACGAAATTTATTGAAAATATGTAATTTTGTTAACAGACTTATTGTGACAAATTATTATCACGCTTAAAAATAACTAGCTAACTAAATGAAAACTAATTTAATACCCAATGTATTTTCCACCTGCTTCTATGAGATTGTAGACGCGTTGCTTTATAGAATTGACCAAATGGATGAAGTAATTGACGTCCAAATTCTCCCAAGCCGTCAAGATACCATCTTTCGATTCATTAACTGTTGCGTACTGCTTCCCATCTTTATAAACATCTCGTACAAGAGAATTCCATACATTCTCAATAGGGTTGAGATGTAGGCTTTTCGCAGGCTATTATAGCAAAGCTATATTTTGTCGTTGAAACCACGTTTTCGATGAATTAGACACATGAATCGACGCATTATCTTGCTGAAAAATCACTTTGCTGTCTTGAAATAGGTTCAAAGTTGGTTTGAGGTGCATTTCCAACATTCCAACACATCTTGGTAATTCAGAGAGTCCATTCGATTTGAAATAAATGCTAAGTTATTATTTCCTAAGCTACTAAAGGCACCCCAGACCATAACATTGCCACCTCCTTGAACTCGTTTTGACAAATACTTTGGTTCTTTCCGTAAATCGTGCCAAAATATCTAAAACCATCAGGACCATCAAGATTAAATTTCTTTTCATCTGAAAAAACTATCTGGAACCATTCTTCATTTTTCGTCTCCATTTCTATGGCTTATTCACGACGTTTTTGAATATGTTCTTTTGTTAACATTGGTTGTTTCTTATATTTGGCATATTTAACATTTTTGTCATTAGCCAGTACTCGCAAAACTGTTCTTTTGTGAACAGGAAGTCCTAGGGTCGTCTTTATCATTTGGGATGACATGTTATCCTTTATACCCGGAGTCACAATGGATCTTTTGGCACGTGCAGTGAGTTTTTCTTTTCTTCCACAATTTTGTCGTCCATTTTCGCTGTATTTCTTTCTTACAAACTTGGAGACTGTGGTCCGACCTCTTCCAATCTTTCATCCTATTTCCGTAAAAGTCAAACCTTGGTCATAGTATGCCTCAATCTGTTTTTTTTTCACGTTCTGTTAGATCGTTTTCTTTCCCATAGCGAAAGACAATTATTGTAGCTCAGCCTATTATATTTCGACACTTTATCAGTTCTAACAAACAATTGCATATCATACAAATAAACAAAAATTACGCATACTACGTTTTTCTAATTAATTCTTATACCTACAAAAAGTGATGCGTGATAATTTTTTGTCTCAAAATTTCTTGACACAATTGAGTTTTCACAGATCAGAAATTATATGATACAAAAATATCACTGAAAAAAAGCATTTTTGTATATTAAATTAACTTCTACTGGGTGTATTATTTAGTCAAAGGTCTAGATAATAAAAAATTCTTAAAAAATTGCACCGTGATAATTTTTTGTCTCGTACCTTATGTGTACAATATTTTGGGCTGTACAGTACGCTTAAAAAATGACAGGTAGATATATGTTTTGTACATATTTTTTTTGGATAGTTGTGAAACCTATTTTTTTTGTTGCTATCTCTTTTAAGTGTTTGTGCTTTTACTTCACAATAGTTGACAAAAAGTCTACTTACGAAAAGATAATATTTGTTTTTAATACTTTAAATTGTATCGTATGAAGAACCGATACGATTCAAAAACAAGATCTTCAGATAAAATCTTGAACATATTGGTTATTGAATGTTATCACTTATCAGTTTGATTGAAGATCGATTTCGAACATTGGTTTAGAGTTTTTGGTTAAAAACAACAATGAACTTCTTCACTCTCAACAGGTTCACCTTTGAAAATAATGGTCTTCAAGTATGCGGCAACTGTGGAAAAATTTTGAACCTCAAATACATATTAAACTTTGAAGCATCAGCTGATACATATCAATGTATCAGAAATTTTGTGTTAAAACATATAATAAAATATAACACTTTACTAAAATAAATCAATAAATGAAAGGAGCTTAATTAACTGTTGTTTAATAAGTAAAAGTACTAGCATTTGGAGAGAACTCCCATTTTTACTTCCCGAGCGTCAGCAAAGGAAGTATTGTAATCGAGTCCGTCGGCCGACTCTCTACTTTTACGTTTTCTCGATCTTTCATGACCCCTAGAAGACGAAGAAATAGGTCTGCCATTTCCGTCTGTCTGTCCGTCTGTCCGTCTGTCCGTCTGTCTGCCGTCCCGGATTTTTATTAGACAGATAATCTCCGAAAGTATTGGACCGATTGTTGTGAAATGTTGTACTTATATTAGGAATATCATGTAGATGGTAAAACGCTAACAAAAATTTGTCTAATCATCCTCACCACTAATGCGATGAAGTCACTTCAAAATTGTACATAGTAAATGGGTTTTAAATTGTATAAAATAACACATGTAGTTTATAACTCCGAATTGAGTTTTCACCCGAAACGTCCAGATTTTTGGAAAAAAAATTAAAATTATAAAACAACATTTAGAAATTTAATTTCGAATCTGCTAACCCGAATGCTTTGAAATGTTGTAGATGTTTTAACGCTATAAAGAGCATCATAAATCTTTAGTCAAAAAATATTTGCTTATCCCCTCCAAAAAATTGATGACGTCAGCTCAAAAGTTTGCCGATTAAATCATATCTAAAATGTATAAAATATGATGAGTCTGTACTTGTGATTTATCACTCCATTCATATTTTTTGGATTTGCATATACAGGGTGACTCAAAAAAATTAATGAATGCGTAAATATATTTTATTAATTTAATCAGGAACTACGAAACCTAATGCTCTGAAATCTTGCAGATGTTTTAAGATTATAAAGAGCATAATAAATGTTTAGTCAAAATATATTTGCTTATCCCCTCCAAAAATTTGATGACGTCAGCTCAAAAGTTTGCCGAATAAATCATACCTAAAATGTGCAAAATATGATGAGTCTGTACTTGTGATCTATCACTCCATTCATATTTTTTGGATTTGCATATACAGGGTGACCCAAAAGAATTAATGAATGCGTAAATTTATTTTACTGATTTACTCAGGAACTGCAAAACCGAATGCTTTCAAATCTTGAAGGTGTTTTAAAGTTATCATAAGCATGGTAAGTTTTTGATCAAAATGTATTGGCTCATCCTCCCTAAAAAATTTATGACGTCACCACAAAATTTTGCCGAATAAATCCTATCTAAAATGTACAAAATATGGTGAGTCTCTTCTTGTCATTTATCATTCCATTCAAATTTTTTCGATTTCCATATACAGGGTGACTCAAAAAAATTTATAAATGCGTGAATTTATTTTATTGAGTTAATCAGGAACTACAAAACCGAATGCTTTGAAATCTTGCTGATGTTTTAAGGTTATAAAGAGCATAATAAATGTTTAGTCAAAATATTTTTGCTTATCCCCATCAAAAAATTGATGACGTCAGCTCGAAAGTTTGCCGAATAAATCCTATCTAAACTGTACAAAATATGATGAGTCTGTACTTGTAATTTATCACTCCATTCCTATTTTTTGGATTTGCATATGCAGGGTGACTCAAAAAAATTAATGAATGCGTAAATTTATTTTATTAATTTACTCAGGAACTACAAAACCGAATGCTTTGAAATCTTGAAGATGTTTTAAAGTTATCATAAGCATGGTAAGTTTTTGATCAAAGTGTATTTGCTCATCCCCCCTAAAAAATTTATGACGTCACCACAAAATTTTGCTAAATAAATCCTATCTAAAATATACAAAATATGATGAGTCTTTTCTTGTGATTTATCATTCCATTCATAGTTTTTGGATTTGCATATACAGGGTGACTCAAAAAAAATAACGAAATCTACTGCGAAAAAAAAACATAATAGAAATGCAGTCGTCACGTTTCCGACAGCGAGGGAAGTACTGTCTAAACTCTTTAGACCAATTTTTTTCGTAAAATTTGTTGCGATAAGTTTTTGTATATATGTTTTAATGATAAATTTCAAAATATTATTAAACATATTGAATACGGAATATAATTTAAAAATTAATTTAATTAATTTATTTGTTTCTGCTAAGACGTGTTTTTTTCTTATCCCTTTGTTTTTATTTTCATTTTACAATATTTAGGTCTGTAATTTCTTTCATTTCTTTTTATTTGATTCAGATGTCAAAGTTAAACAAAATATCTAGTCGATATCGTCTAATCTGAGTACTTTAAAGTATGTGTATTTACTTGTTATACTTTCCCTGTTAATGGATTGCTCCGTTGCGAAATTATCTTTAATTAATAATAGTAATGTATAAATTATAATCACTGATCAACTTCACAGCCAAAAGTGCAGTCAATAACTCTTGATTAAGCTTTCGTTTTTAAGTTATTGGGGTTTGACAGAAAAGTTCACCGATATAATAAAAGTCGTTCAAATATTTAAAATATTGGACTGTAAATTTTTTCGAAAAAATAAAATATCAAATATTATCCTTTGTGTATTTTTTAGTTATTGTCTAAACAAAATTTAACTATATTTTTATTTTATTTTAAATAAATGTTAGTTTGTTGGTCAAAAAATGTTGCATGAAATAAAACAAAAAATTAAAGAACTAAATTTAATACACACACAACGTGTTCTCACGTTGGAAAAAGGTTATGTTTATGTTTTAATAATTTACTGTAAATTATTAAGACAAAAATGAACAATCTAAGACAACTCATTTAGGGCTCCATCCAGT